CTTAAATGTCAATTTCTTCTTTTACCCTCTCACTTGACGCCGTTGTTCAGGGCCTTACGGCATCGCGCTGCAATGCAAGAGGTCGCAGGTTGCAAACCGGCCGCAGCAACTAGATTTCAGAGGGATAAATAAATAAGACCAGTGTGTACGAACGAAGTTCGCAAGTCACATGAACGCCAGGCAGTCAAAGCTGATCCCGAGTTCTCCATATACTGCAAACTGGTGGTTGCTTTGCCCCGCGAAGTCTGAGAATTGAATCTCCAGTCGCAATACCCAACCCATGGAAACAACGTAGAATCGTTTAATTTAATATGTGTCTTAGGGCATACTGGTGCCAATAGGTAGGAAAAATTTGGCAGACCTCACGTACCTTAGAAATCGATGTTATGCAAAGCATTCGCATGGAAGGTGACTGTGTTATATATTTTTTTACTGAGCAAAGCATTCGAAAGGTTACAAATTGGCGCTAAATGTATGTACAAATGCACACCCAGACACACGTTAAATATTCACATACGCTTTATTTATATAACAAGTTGCGTAACGATGGTATTAGCAACACCAAAAGCGGGATACTCGCAGGGATCGTAACTCAGAAAACTGCTACACAAACAAAGTGGAAGATACCTCACTACAGTTGACGTTAACCCGGCGTGACGGCTGTATCGTAGGAGTACATATGTAATGTTTATGAAACTAGATAGCCAGCCCTGCAACCACAATTGACGTTTCACAAACGTCAGGGTTTATTTGAAAAGTAGTTCCGAGACCTGGCGTGGCTCTGTGGTAGAACGCTCGATTGCCACACAGAATGCTGGGACTCGATTCCTGCTGGGACCCTGACATTTATTCTTTGCGTTTGTGGGGTCTATGGGGTCGTTTGTGGGGTCTCTGTGTTTTAGCGTCTATTGATAGATAGACGCTAAAAGCGCCTGCAGTAAGCAAATAATTGATCGATTGATATGTGGGGTTTAGCGTCCCAAAACTACCATATGATTATGAAAGACGCCGTAGTGGAGGGCTTCGGAAATTTTGACCACCTGGGGTTCTTTAACGTGCACCCAAATCTGAGCACACGGACCTACAACATTTCCGCCTCCATCGGAAAGGCAGCCGCCGCAGCCGGGATGCGATCCCGCGACCTGCGGGTCAGCAGCCGAGTACCTTAGCCACTAGACCACCCCGCAGCGGGGCAATAAGCAAAGAAATGCCTCCTCTCTCTCTCTCTCTCTCTCTCTCTCTCTCTCTCTCTCTCTCTCTCTATATATATATATATATATATATATATATATATATATATATATATATATATATATATATATATATATATATATATATATATATATATATATATATATATATATATATATATATATATATATATATATATAGACTGTTTCCCAGGTCCCCTCTACAACAGATAATACGTGTGTTCAGAATAATGATAAAAAAAACCCTCTTGTCCGTTGTGTGTAGCGACGTGCACGTGACGACCTCTCTCTAACACTGTCTTCCCCTCATTTCGGTGAGCAGTATATAGCACGCTCTCCAGGCCAACTTTTCCTATCTCCTCTTCCCGAAACATTGGTTTCTTTTATTTTGTAATATATGATTATATTTGCCCGTCCGTTATCCTTAACAACCGAAAAAGAGATTGACTTGTGAGTGTTCGTAATGCTTGTCAAGAGAGATGAGCGTCACTGGCAGAAACGTGCGCGGGTGATTTGGATGAGGTATACCTCAAGGCTTGACATTGGGATAAGTTTTCGGTATAACAACCGAGATATAGGACGTGAATGAGAAGGATTGACTGTGATATAATGAAGATGTTGACGGAGAAGTATAACTAACTAACTAACTAACTAACTAACTAACTAACTAACTAACTAACTAACTAACTAACTAACTAACTAACTAACTAACTAACTAACTAACTAACTAACTAACTAACTAACTAACTAACTAACTAACTATTTAACTAACTAACTAACTAACTAACTAACTAACCAACTAACTAACTAACTAAATGCAGGAACCACTGTGTGATGGCGGTAAACAAAACTTCGCGTATGAGTACTTTTCCCTTCCTTTCGAATTGCGCAGTGCTTCCTTTTTAGAGTTTTTTGCTTCCATGTCGGAGACGGTGGACTTCCACCCACGTTCACTACACCAGAGCAACGCTAAACTTGCTACAAGCATCGATGATGGTGATACGTTCATACGCAGGCTATATATGAAATACCCTTTCCAGACCCGCATTGTGATGCGCCGTCTGCAAATGTGTAAAATTCATATATCGCGACTCCAAAGTGCTCAATATTACGTTCCAATAAAGAAAATGAAACAATGCGTTCTCATGTGCGAGTTTCAGTCAGTAATTGTATTTAGTACGTAAATAAATATTTTGTTTTTATGCAGACAGTCAGTCACATTTCATTTGGACACGCATCCCTATTGTAACGATCCGTATGCGATGTCCAATAATTCCGTATGTTTCCGTAAGAATACATATGTTTCCTATATATTTTCCGTATATTTCCGTAAGACTCTTACGGAAACATACGGAATTATTGGACATCGCATACGGATCGTTTCAATAGGAATGCAGTTATACGGGGCTCCGATGCTGTTTCGCGGGCGTCCTGTGGCGGAGGCCAAGGCATGGAGGGATGACTACGTGTTTGCATTGACCTCCTCTCTCCACTCGTTCTTCTTTCTAACGTGCCAGCTCACGCCTGCGCAGAGAAGCATAAACGGCGATAACGAGATAAGTGACCGACGCCGTGCGTTTATCGCAGCGGCTCTGCAGGAGGTTCTTACCGTGGGAGGCTAACGGTCTTTCTTTTCGCTGCGGTTAACCTGTTTCGAGGGCGTACCACCTGGACGCCTCATTACGGCCTGCTACAAGGGCGCCTCGAGTTGCTCGCTCGATTGATTGATATGTGAGGTTTAACGACCCAAAACCACTATATAATTATCACAGACGCCGTAGTGGAGGGCTCCGGAAATTTCGACCACCTGGGGTTCTTTAACGTGCACCCAAATCTGAGTACACGGGCCTATACAACATTTCCGCCTCCATCGGAAATGCCTCGAGTTGCTGTACACCGTTTACGCTGTCGTTATACTCATCCAAGGGTGACAAATAAAAGAGCCCTCCATGGAACTAATTTGATGACGCCACGTGACAAAGACGGCAGTCTGTAAATGTGTTTTGATTGGTCGTTATCATAATAATCATCATAATTTGCAGCCCATTTTCGTCCGCTACCAGACGAAGGCCTCTTTTACCGATCTCCAGTTTTTCTGTGAGAGCTGTTTCCATTTTATCCCCCGCGAATTTGTTAATTTCTTCACACCATCTAACTCTTTGCCTTCCTCGACCGCATTTTCCATTCCATGGTAACTATTCTGTTCATCTTACTCTCCGTCAGTTGTGTGTTTGAAGCATTATGCGGGCAGCCCATTTCCATTTCTTTAGTTTGATGTCAACTAAGATATCTGGTACACCAGTTTGTTCTCCGACCCAATATTCCATCCAGCAATTTCTAATCGTGTTTTCGTTCCGTCCTCAAGAATGCCTCAAGAATGCCTCAAGAATGCCTCAAGAATGCCTCCAGTTGCTTCGCTATCCTTCATGTTTCATCCGCTCATGTTAGAATTGATTAGCCCTCGATTATTTATAATTGCCACGTTAGCCTTATCGCGTGTGGCGTAGAACACGTTACTGTTATCGCAGGCGCGCATCTATATTTCCGCAAGACTTGCTGATTTTAGGTATACCTGAAACCATTTTTTTTGTATCAGTTTGATTCAATACACGTTGGTCGACGAAACAATTAAGATGCACGCTTTGCGTTGTCATATGCATTTGCGTACAGGTGGTGATGGGCATTAACCTGTACGGATTTGTGCTTGACAGGCAAAGAAGGGATACGGGTTCGAAATCTCACCACGGAGGCAGCACTCTTACGCGAATGAAGTGGGAAAATGCTCACGCGTTTACGTTTATAGCATAATGTAAGTTGTTACGGAGTCCTTCACCACGGTCAATTTGACAATGCAGTATTCGCCACTGCAGGCAAAACTACATAAAATATTTAACGTTATTAAAGTTGACATCGGTGAGTGAGTGAAACAACTTTATTGACGATCCGGCATAAAGGGGGAAGGGGTAGGGGGATTAAAGCGAGACACTAGCGTGCTCGGACGTCCCGGAGCAGCAACCTACTCGCGTCAAACATCAGAAAAAATTAGGTAACTCATGATGTTAAGTTCCACGTATTCTTTGGCTATCTTTCATAACATATAAAAATTGCCAGAAAACAGAAAAAAAAATCGCATAGAACAGACGTAGATTGCATGAAAACCGAAAGAAAGAGAGAAGGATGGGAGTATAAAATACACTACGTCTACGACAGCAAGCAAACGAAAGCATACACTGCAAATATGAAGTAATAAGGCCAGCTCATACTTCTTTTTCAAAAATTTCCTCTCCCCACGAGACAATGTTGTTATGTAAACACCTTGTATTACCACGCCAAATATATATTGCACCGAAAATTCGTACCAAAGGGATTAAAACAATGCGATGACAAGGAACGCCCTCCACGTTGTATACACCATTTGTCTCTACGAGAACACTCGCCAGCGCACAGCTTGTTGACGACGTGGATAACGGAAGCGCGTTTTTTTGCGAAGCCCCGCAGTGGCTCCTCGGGCGGCAGGAACAGACGTGGATAACACCTCCTCCTCTCTGCCTCGCGTATAGAGAACACAGAAGGCGCACCTTTCGTAGCGCTGAACTGTGGACTCATCCTTCAAACTCCAGCGCCGGTCACGCAGAGGCGGAACGGACCTTTTTACGTTGAAACCGCGCGGCAGTTCAAGGGCACATCCTGCAGAGCGCGCGTCACGCTGATCAAGCCTTTCGGCTTGCCTGTACTGTGCACACAGACAGATTGAAAACGTACACGCAACGAAAACGCGTCCAGTTCGAACGTAAACTTTGCGCCGTGCATAGTTTAGCGTAAGCGGACGCAAACGCGCACGTTTCGATCGAACCCCGGCAACATCGGAGTGCGGCAGACGTTTTCCCCCGACTTCGGAAACATTCCGGGAGTATTGTTAAAGCAAACGACAGGTGTACTTCGTCACGGAGGCGACTTCTCCTGTATACGGCCGTTATCGCGGAGGCACGCAACGAACGACGCCACGAGATAAGATTCGGAGCGCGCGCTGGGAGTGCAACACCGCTGCTGCAGACTGAGCACAAGGCACGCTGCCTCCACGGTAATCGGCGGCCGCGGCCGTAGTCTCGAAGACAAAGATGGCGGACGTGCGATGGACTCTGATCGTCTGCTTGGTGTGGCTTCTCGCCGCCTGCTGGGCACAGGAATCACGCACCGGTAAGTGAAGTAAGCCAGTGGTGTTCTCATGTTCGTTTACTCTACAGCGATGCGGAATAACGTTTGGAGACGTTTGCCTTAAGGACCACCTAAGCCTAACATTGGCCGTTTGAATTTTTTTTTCGGGGTGTGGCTTGTTATGAGACCGATGGGCGTCTCCGTCCATTGACCGTTAGGGTGAGTAGGAAAACCCACCGAGAAGAACCGGTGATTAAACCGAATCTTAGAATGAGACGTGTGAACATTTAGTTGGATTTCCCCGTACAGACCAAATGAACAGCCAACAATGTGGCTGCTTAACACGAATGACATAACATGTTAAAACAAACCGCGGTAGCCAGTACTGGCATCTTGGTTTGGCGAGGCAGTTTATCAGTAGACTTGACCGAATCGACGCTGTTATATTTGCAAGAGGTACAAGTTACGTTTCTCTCTACGCAAACAACTACACTGTGGTCGACAATGACGTCGAAAAATATTCAGCGTCGACATCACTAAAATAATAGCTCAAAAGGTAATCGAAGTTCGTCGGTACTTAAATAATGACGGCGAGGACACTATAAAGTATGCCCACAAATATTACCACCAGTGTTCACACATGACGCGGCTGATAACGCCTTCAATGCCTTGGATCATTTTTCTTTTTCTCAAAATGATGACACAGCATGCTCGAGCTATCTAAGCAGGTGCTATAAGTAAAATATAAGCTTTTATGAACGAATTGGCACTGCTTTGAATGACATCGATAACTCAACATTTAATGTAACAGCTCAGTTATTCTGTGCCAAACGAATCATCTTTTTTTTTTATTACACCTGCCTTTCTGTAACGCTGCTTTGTGTCGCGAATTTCTTTTGCGCTCTAGATATAGCAGTTCTTCAATTTTGTGGATTGATTCTGCCAAGTGAAACTTCTGTTGAGATGGACGAACTTCACAGTCTCTTCAAGATAAACCGTGTGTTTTAAACATGGTGCCAAGCAGACTGAACAAAATGTTTATTAAAAAAACAACAAGAAGAAAACAGTCTTTTCCTTTTTGAATCTTTTAAAGGAACATGACTACAAAGAAGCGTTTGTATTCAGTTTCTTCAATATAATTTTGCATTAGGAATTATACTGAAATGTATTGAACAATTGATCCTAGATGTTTTGAGAACGATTATAACGAATAAAGGAATCTAAAAGCAATGAAAAGGCGAACGACATCCTCCATACTTTCCTATATAATAGTGCAAAATTAAGTGAGATATGCGTAACGAGCACATATATCAAACATTTAAGGAGGGAGGCTGAACTCGGATAAGCAGTTGTGCCTCCACTGAAATCCACACACTTATAAACCTTCCAAGTGACTATTCCGCACTGAGTTCATAAAACCCAGCGTTACAGGAAAGTGGCACCTCACCAAAGTTTAGTCAACCTCCGATATATTTACGGATGGCAACTATATGAAGAAAGACAGTTTGGCAACTTTAGACGTGTGCAACCGATAAAGGGCAAATGGCCTCTTGACATAAACTTTTTCTAACTTGCGTAGCATCTTGGCAGCTAAGGGCTCAGCTTGAATTAGGTTAACCTAAGTTAAGTGATGTGCAGCGGGAAGCTTTGCATTTGAATATATTGATATAGCACAGACAAGTGACAACGAATGCGTGTGCTGCCGTGAGATAACTAGAAAAAAAAAAGCAAAACAAAACTGCGTAGATTATTACATCTATGGTACTGATCTTGTGAACGCGCCAACAGAAATTAACAGCGACGACAAACGTGAGAATGTTAGATAAGCGCAACAAAGATAATTATGCAACACACGCGACTCCTTGCTAACAGTACAGGGTCAACATGCCACCCCCCTCCCCCTCACCACATAATATTTGTATGAAAGTATTAATTTCGTGTGTACAATGCGCGTGCTGACTACTGATTGATTCCGATTTTTCTTCTGTACAAGTGCTTGTTCCCACTCCTGCATGGGCTCTGATTTGAGCCTGCAGTATTCTTTAAATAAATAAATAAATAAATAAATAAACGTACCAAAAATCTTTCGTTGAAAACGATACTCTCAGGTATGCACCACGCCCGAAAAATTGGTCACTTTCATACGTAAATAGCTGCGTAAATTACCACAATAATGTTCCCACTGATGTTTTGGTAACGATCCATAAATTGGAACAGCAGCAATATGAATCAGAAGAGAGTAGGGATTTATTTATAGGAAAGCAGTAGCGAAGTAAGGGCGAGATACAAGAAGTAAACAAGCTTTTTCGTTTTCTTTCTCTCGAGCAAGCAACACTGATAGGTTTAAATATCAGGAAAACTATTTGTTCGGCAACAGCTCGCCATATCAGAGCTAAATATGTAGACGGGTGCCTTGCACAGCTACACGTTAATTTCTCGTATATAAGTCATTTGGACGACATGGACTCATCGTACACCTTCCCAATTTTCAGAAGCAACGAGATACCAAAATTAGTAGGACCATTACGTTTAATCGTAAAAAAAATGCACGCGTTTTTAATGCTCACACCTTGTTAAATAACCTTCGACGTCACACGGCAGGATGTCGCGCACACAAAATACGATGACGCATTGTCTCAACACATTTTTATGTCTCTCATAAAAATGTGGCCCCATATCCGTTAGCCGAGCAATAATAGTGAATTGGGGTTATATTCCCGAACAAGATATGTGGCACAAAATGTTTATGTCAGGCGAGCCGTAAGCCTTATAATATTAGTATAAGTAATGATATATTTTCAGGTATATCCAATCACCTTAATCATTTTAGAAGTAAAATAATAGACGAAACGATGCCATACTACGAAGGTGGTATAAATCGCATCCCAAGTGAGCTGCCGTCAGCCTTAATGTGATTTATAGTAAAATAGTTCGCAGCCCCGCCGCGGTGGTCTAGTGGCTAAGGTACTCGGATGCTGACCCGCAGGTCGTGGGATCAAATCCTGGGTGCGCCGGCTGCATTTTCAATGGAGGCGAAAATGCTGTAGGCCCGTGTGCTCGGATTTGGGCGCACGTTAAAGAACCACTGCGTGTGGTCAAAATTTACGGAGCCCTTCACTACGGCGTCTCTCATAATCATATGGTGGTTTTGGGACGTTAAGCCCCCCGTATCAGTAAAACAGTACGCAATGATACAGCGGTTATTACGACGTATTTTCGCCCTAAGATGCGTTTCATTCCCCCGACTTCGATTATTCGACTATTCTGATTTACCACGCCTTAAAGACAGCGTAATATTCTGTCTGATAAAACAGCGTATACCTGTTTTCACCACACAAGTTCGAACAGCAACTTTGACTTTAAATAGCTTTTTTCCCAGACTGTAAAAGCCAGAACATACGCAAAAAGAGGCGGCGACGCTACGCTGGATTTCTCAGACAGTAATTTATAGCGTTTTTAAGAGAAAAAACACTGACCACGTGAAAGTTTACTCGATTTCTCCGGCATTGTGAGGGAGCTTTTATGCAGGAATTTTTTCACCACGCGAGCCTCGCTGCCGCTGTCTATAGTGGCTAAGGTGCTCGGCTGCTGACCCGCAGGTCGGGGATCGAATCCCAGCTGCGGCGGCTGCATTTTCAATGGAGGCGGAAATGTTGTAGGCCTGTGTGCTCAGATTTGGGTGCACGTTAAACTACGGCGTCTCTCATAATCATAGGGTGGTTTTGGGACGCTAAACCCCGCATATCAATCAATTTTATAATACGTATATGTTTTTCAATGTTGCTCCTTGGTGTTTTCATAGGACAACGAAGAAGAAAAAAATACTATATGTGTTAGAAATTGCCGTTTTCGACAATGCCAAAACGCCACCGCTGCTGCAATAACCTAAAGCCGTAAATGGGGCGAACAGCCAATTGCTCGCTCACACCTGCGACTACACTTGTCACGCACGTGTCACGCGACCCAGTCGCAAAGCTACTGGTCGAAAATATCCCCGGCTGCATTGGCACTGTTGCTTGATGCTCGATTTTTCAATCGCGCGACTGCGGTCGCAAATACTTGAGCCAATCGAATGTACAGGAACAGGACGTCAGCTTATTTTGTGAGGCAATAGCAATGAGAACAGACGCGATATATACACAGGTATAAGTCGCACGCATACATGAACATCACTCGCCTTGAGACGCTTCTTGATAGCTAGTCGCTAATGATCGCGTGACGTTGCAATCGCTTGTGCCCCTTGAAGAGGGTGGCTACGCCTTTTTACAGTTCCCCTACCACCTCGCTGTGACAGATTTCGAAGGAGTCTGCCAGGGCATATTTGTGTCTTTATAAATTGAAATGTGGACTGAAATGCGTTCTATCCTGAGAGATGTTGCAGACTGTGCATGACAAGTTTCGGGGAACTTGCACTTGGGGGAAGCAACCCATAAAGCTTACTTAAAAAAAAAAAAAAAAACCAGGCAACTTCTCACCAGTGGTAGCCAAAGAAAAAGTGAAGGTAGGCAGCCTTCCAAATTTCTCTTTCTTTCCTTCTCTCTGTTTTGTTATTTTCTTTACAGTTGTGTTTTTTGTTATTTATATTTGTTTCTACTACTGTCCACATTTCTTCCCTTTCTATCTCTTCCTATTTGAATTTTTCATACGGGATCTTCCCTTCGTCACGTCGAGAAATGGCAGCATACGTCAAACCGGGCCCGTAAAGTGCCCCGCAAATGAATATCATTATGAAGACGTGCGAAGAACAAGACAAAGAAGACTTGCTGCAGGCGGCTGTGCTACGGATATATTCCACGTTTGTGAACAGGTGTATAGCCACCATCGTCATACGGAGGCGCGTGGGCTGTGCCCAGCCCAAAGCTCGACACAGCCTTCTGTGATCACGTGACAACTGGCATAGCAGCTGCAAAGCTGCCACCCTTAAAGTGTTCCGCACTTAAAACCCAAAGAGCCCAGAACGCTTAGCGACCGCGTATGAACGCCGCCAATTACACCGAGGCGACGAGGATTTAATGTCAGTACTACAAAAACTGACGTTTCTCTTGCTTTGGTTTCGTGGCACAACGTGCTAAAGCGATCAATTTATTCGCTTATGACTCGAACTTGAATACCTGGATTTCAATTTTTTTAGGGGCTTTGTCCTGCATCAGGCGTCCCCCCCCCCACACAAAGAGAGAGAGAGAGAGAGAAAGAGAGAGACAGACGGACTGATGGACGGTTCGCCCCACTCATCAGCATTCACTCCGTGAATATGCTGTGATTTGAGTACCGAATCTTGGCAACCAAAGAAGAACGTACATTAAAAGGAAAGAGTGCAATAACTGCTTTTTCCAAACATGCAGATTAGGTACATTAATCATTATCTTGAATAAAAATTAGAATATTAGAACAAAGCTACACTTAAAAATCAGTACCGTTATAAGAAGCGTGAGCAGCGCACCTTAAAATTCTCTGTTCGCAACAAAGGGTTGGTACGCCAACAAAAAAAAAAAAACATGAGTTGCACCCACAGCCAGCTGTTATGTCATTGTAAAAGAAATTCGCGTAAATGCTCTATCCAATCACGTTTGCTCCTTCTTGTGGCGTCAAGCAATTCTACAGAAAAACAAAATCAAATATACCGATAGAGTTTATCATAGATTTTGACGTCAATACTGCGCAAAAATAATATTGCGGTCAGAAAAGAATAATTGTTATTTTCCTGTGTGCATCGCATTTACATAAGCATACAGTCAGTTCTTGCTCCTCTTGCCGTTGCGAATGAAAGAAAAGGCTGGAACAACTCGCACAAAGGTGAAAGACAGGCGAATCAGTTTTATGAGCGTATCTCAGATGCAACCGACTACCGATATTCAGTATCATACAGAGTAAAAAAAAAAAAATCCTATTCGATATCCATGGCGTCACAATCACATGTCGGCGTTGGGCTTTCTGCGTGAAATTACGACACGATGCTCCTATTTACACTTTCTTCTAATTCATAACGTAAAATTTAACGGCGACGTAGTTTTCAAAGAATAATTTATTGTTCTAAAATAAATTAGCATTCCCAGTTAATGTCCCTTCTAGCACCCTTCCATACTAACTATACTATTCATAGCGTACAAAAAACGAGTAAACTGGTAGGAGAAGAAACAACGCAGCCATGCTGTGCTGGTCTATAGTGGCTATAAGGTCATCATCATCATCATCATCATCATCATCATCATCATCATCATCAGTCTGACTACGTCCACTGCAGGACAAAGACCTCTCCCATGTTCCGCCAGCTAACCCTGTCTTGTGCTTGCTGCTGCCAATTTATACCCGCAAACTTCTTAATCTCATCTGCCCACCTAACCTTCTGTCTCCCCCCAACCCGCTTGCCTTCTCTGGGCATCCAGTCAGTTACTCTTAATGACCAGCGGTTATCCTGTCTACGCGCTACATGCCCGGCCCATGTCCATTTCCTTTTCTTGATTTTAGCTATAAATATCCTTAACCCTCATTTGTTCCCTAATCCACTCTGTTCTCTTCTTGTCTCTTAAGGTTACACCTACCATTTTTCTTTCCATTGCTCGCTGCGTCGTCCTCAATTTAAGCTGAACCCTCTTTGTAAGTCTCCAGGTTTCTGCTCCGTAGCTAAGTACCGGCAAGATACAGCTGTTTTATACCTTCCTCTTGAGGGATAGTGGCAATCTACCTGTCATAATTTGAAAGTGCTTGTCCAATGTGCTCCACCCTATTCTTATTCTTCTAGTTACTTCAATCTCGTGGTTTGGCTCCGCGATTATTACCTGCCCTAAGTAGACATAGTCTTTTACTACATGAAGTGCACTATTACCTGTCTCGAAGCGCTGCTCTTTTCCGAGGTTGTTGTACATTACTTTCGTTTTCTGCAGATTCATTTTAAAGGGCCACCTTTCTGCTTTCCTTGTCTAACTCCTGTAATCATGAGTTGCAATTCGTCCCCTGAGTTACTCAGCAATGCACTCAGCTGCTGACCAGCAGGTCGCGGGATCGTATCTCGGCTGCGGCGGCTGCATTTTCGATGGAGGCGAAAATGATTTGAGCCCGTGTGCTCAGACTTGCGTTCACGTTAAAGAACCCCTGGTGACCGAAATTTCCGGAGCCCTCCACTACGGCGTTCTCTCATAATCATATGGTGGTTTTGGGACGTGAAACCCCACATATCAAGTCAAATGAGAGGAAACGACGCAAACAACAAGCGCTGCAGTATACATTACTGCGGAATATCTTGTTTTATAAGTTTACATGCACATTTTGTATTTTGATACAACACGCATGTTGTTTCATTACTTACAAAGATTGACTGACTGATTCAATGATTGATTGGATGGCTGACTGGCTGACTCCGCAGGAGGGCGGTCCTCGAGCGATGACCTGATGGCCATCGAGGATCACCTAGAGTACCCACAGCGGCCGGCCGACTACCAAACATTCCGCAAAGAGCTCATGTACCCGTACGACCGGAACGACCTGCAGACCATCGACTCGAGCAAGCTGGAAAGCGAGATCTCGCTGCAGGCCAGGCTACCCTTCTTCGGATTCCACTACAAGTACATCAAGGTCAGACCGGTCTTCACCGTCGCTGCTTTCTCGCCGTAGCGCTAATCAGTTTACGCGTGTTCAGCAACCGGTAACTCGATTGCGCGGAGATCCGGAAAGATGAAAGACAAGGCTGCGCTTAAAGTCGGTGCTTTGTCAGATCAAGTTCTGTCAGATATGTCCAAGCGAGATCCGAGAAGACGCTCACGCAGGTAAGGAAAAAAATACTGACCAGCAGAACGCGACAGTACATCCTTAATTTCTTTCGTATGGTCGGTAAGCATGCTTCGTCTGACATATGCGCTTCGGCCAGTTTGTGATTCGTCTGTAGATTACGCTCCCGTGATCGGACGACCCGCAATTACTTGGCCTACAAATAAATGGCTTGTTTCGTAGCTTCACCATGGTAGCATACGAATACCGACTCCTGTGCTGAGGACGGGCCATCGTAGTTTTTCACAAAGGCTTAAAATTTTAGCATTACGGGCAAGCTACATAGCGATGACGTATTCCGTCAGTGTACCTAACACGTCTGTCACTATCTAATCACGAATAATGCAGAAACGAGGAGCGCGAGCAATGAGTTGAGTTGGAGGACCTGTAGACCTGTATTCAGCGTAAAGTGCCTTAGTTGGGCTATTTATAATGGATGCTGAGATGCAATCTGCTGCAACGTAGATACAGTAACACGTGACCTTGGTAGATGAAACAGCCTTTCCTTCTACCACTTCGGCAACAAGGAAAGGCTGTTCCTCGCGGTATCGGCCAAGGCCCATGTGGACCTTGCGAATGTTATTCAGGAGCATGAGGAAACGTATCGTTTGCGCTTCACAGGAGGCACCCCAATGGGTTTTCTGTGGGGGCATCCACACATGCAGGTGCACCTAAACGGATACCTACACTTCAGCGGCGCACCGGCGACATTCCGGTTTCCTGTGCGCTTCCCAATGCGTCCGGAGGACACGATACGGGAGAAAAGACCCTGCTTTGATCGCACCGTGGCTCAGCTACCAGAGCATGGTCCAACACATACCCGGTAAGTCCAACGAACGCTCATGAGAGCAACAACCTGTTACAGGTCATATAATGAAGGACGCAGTTTATGCACGATGTCCTTGAGAACAGCGGATGACGGGCACGTTCTGGGACCGGCCCAGAACGGAATGAAGGGGCCTCTACGAGATTCTGATCTGGAATAAAACAGAGCACAAATATAAAGATGAAAACGCGATAGAAATCTTCGGAGGTACACATCAACATAAAATGATTACTCAAACCGACACTTCAGTTGCCCCTTATACCAAAAACAGTCCTTTGAGACATTTCTGTGTCACATACCACTGTTCCCCGACTTTGTACTGCTGGTATCTTACTAAATAAATAATGTGGATAAAAAGAAAAGAAAGAAGAGTCAGTACTGAGCCAGTACATCGGCAATGAGATCATGCATACAGAGATCCTGCCGAGATTACTTAATTTATACAGTCTTTAACCCTTTAGCCAATACTCTTGAGCCTTTCACTGTGGCGTCTTCCGTACGTTGTTGTGAATATCGATGCATCAGGAATAAGCGGATAACCGCAGCCTCGATAAGTACTAAGCAAATCAGACATTCAGTCGATCCGTCCATCAATCAATCAACGTCGCCTCTCACAGAATCCGGTGTCTACTTCCGCCTGTTTCGCATCGGCGAGCACAACGACCGAGACCCCGAACAGTGGCTGGAGCGTCGTGCGATCGAAGACTTCCGCGAGGGCATGATCGGGGCGGCCGACTTCCGGCCCACGTTTGTGGTCATCGCTACGTGGAGAAATGTCACGCTGACCGGCATGCAGAGCAAGAGCAACGTCAAGGTCTGTCCCGATATGAACGCTTTGAAATAATCCGACGACGTGCAATAAAACGTATAATCCAACGCTTCTACAATGCAGAGCGGTATCTGATGAGCATGGCTTACAAATCACACGTCTCTCATAATCAAATGGTGGTTTTGGGACGTTAAACCCCACAAATCAATCAATCATGGCTTACAAATCACGAGCCATACAAGCTGGCGGTTCGGCCGCTATACGTAGTGCCCATCTATATTCTATTGCGATGATGCATCCCACGGGGACATCCAAACATGTTCTCGTCAATTCTTAAAAGGTAACGCTAGGTTTTATGTGCACCGTAACAAAAAAAAAGTGATAAATTTATGTATAACACTGTATAAACTATATAAAACGCTATATATGCTTGTCAAGCCAGTGTAAACGCGTTCGCCGTATATGCGTGGAAACATTAACTGGTTGCAGCGCGGAAGAAGAGGGCGTACATGAGCCATCCTCGAGCCTGTCCTTGCGTCGAGATCGCACTGCAGCTATAGTTGCTTCTAATGTTCTACCGTCAAGCCCATACAGCGACTCTTGTTGTGCACAGCATACAATCACACGTTGTCTTTTTTTTTCTTTCGCCGATTCTTCCGTCGTGCAGACCAACACGTACCAGGTGGTCCTGGCGAGTGACGAGCGTCGCACGTACGTGATGTTCAACTACGAGAAGATAGACTGGATCGCCGTAAACGACGTCAACAACGGCGAGAACGGCGAGAACCCGTTCGTGGGTTTCAACGCGGGCAACACGACACGCTACTACGAGTTCATCCCGTACTCCCAAGAGCCCCGCGTCAAGAACCTGCCGCAGCATGGCGAAGGCAACGGCATCAAGGGACGCTACATATTCGAAATTGAAGAGGAGATCTGGCACGGATCGTGCATCAAATGGGGTGAGATTAACCACGTACAGGTTGTAGAGAGAGTCGAGGCGTATGTAGGCATTTGTGTTAGATAGAAGGGGGTCACCTTTGCGTGTGGTCATGGTGCGATTTCAAGCCGACAGGTCTGAGAAAAAAAAAGATTCAACGGTGTATTCGTACGTAAAACCACGCTTTAATTTGTCAATACCCCATAGTTCAGCGACGTTTAAGTTTATCAACGTGGTTTTTTAGGCTATATTTAGTTCAGTGCATGAAAAGGTAACATAGCGCTTGCAGACAAAGGCGAGAAAGATATGTTAGCGCTCGTCCCGTTATTTCTCTTCCGTGGCGAAATACAAAAATATCACGTTACAAACCCACTGGCGCGCCTTGATTCCGTATCGTGAAGCGTATCGTGTACCTATAGCGTACACGATACGCTTCCCTCGCACCGGTTCATGATAGCGATAAGCAGTCACAGCAGTTATCGTTTTTGCGGCCGATAGCAAAGCGTGTTCATCGCAAAGCCACCACCATCGTTGCGGCCCTGTCGATACGGCACAATTGGACGAAGGTCTTTCGTACGCGGAACACCAGGGAGGACTATAAAATCATCGTGCGCATTGGCGTGCGAGTGGGTTTGTCACGAGGTATTTTTTGTATTTCGCGGGGATTTTTAGTTAGTGAAAAACACTAAACAGATATAAAGTTGTATATCAGACGTCTGTATAATCAGACGTCTTGCAAACCGATTGACAACTTTCTCATCAAACCTTTTTATAGAAATTCGTTCGTTCAAAAAAGTTATTTAATTAAACAGATCTAATTAAGCAACATTTCCGGACACAAAAAATAGTGACTAATTGCAGGCAACGGTCAGCCATGTGCATTTGGTCGCGTCGTAATTGCGCGTGTCCACATATTTTCAAACTCTGCCTACAGATAACTGGGGCACCCTGTATAGTAGCTCGATGCCGAAATGAATATACGCTTACGTACTTCATCGAACATTTCGCGTCCCGCAAACCTTTGCTGTTGACAGTACAACAAGGGCTGCTTGACGCCCGGTTTGCGCAGAGCTGGTGCCTCACTTGATCACGAGCCGGCCGCGGTTGACCTTCTTTCCCAAGTACGCGTCCATGCTTGGCGGAGCTCTGATCAACGTGACGGGTCCCTGCTTCGACCCCAACGAGAAGATCGAGTGCCAGTTCCAGGACATGTCGGGCCACCGGCTGCCGGCCATCTACCGAGACACCAACCACGCCACGTGCCTCATGCCACCCGTGTTCTTCCACGGATACGTCGATCTCACCGTGTCCCAGGGAAGCAGAGACGCCTATGTTCTACGGGCGCTTCTACGTCCGTGAGTACCGATCAAGTTTCAAGGCGAGATAGTCACGGGTACACAAACCAGGTCAACACTGACTTAGCCAAGGGGGCAGGCGTTCAACTGTCTCCATGTTTTTTTTTTTTTTTTGATACGTCAAAGAGAGGAAGCCCATGACGTCTTGCGCAAGCTGTCAATAGGCGTATATAATGGATTATCGGGGGTTCGTATCCCGGCTGCGGCGGCTGCATTTCCGATGGAGGTGGAAATGAAGGAGGCCCGTGTGCTCAGATTTGGGTGCACGTTAAAGAACCCCAGGTGGTCTAAATTTCCGGAGCCCTCCACTACGGCGTCTCTCATAATCATATGGTGGTTTTGGGACGTTAAACCCCACATATCAATCAATCAATGGATTATCGAAGGTTCGCCGCTATAGCGTTGGAAGAAGTTTCGTGCAGACTACTATCTAGGCCATCTTAAACGAATAATAGCGCGACAAAAGTATGCTGCAGAGACAAGAAAGAAAAGATAAACTACAGCGTTTTTGTTTGAGACGGAAGGGCACCACCTCGCCCAATTGTTCTTTCTGACACTAGCACTGCTTGCCTTTGCAAGAAAGGAAACAGCGCAAACTTCGCGGTGTCACAAACGATCCGTTTCACCCGTTCGCTAACTGCTAAATCTACAGCGAACGTGTATCAGTGAGGACAGTTTTATAAAATGGAGTTAATACGAACGGAGTCACCTACGGGAAATGTGTTGGCCAGCAATTCATTTTCTTTTTAAAACCTCGATGCAAGTGTCGGGGCCAGTCAATTCGTGTTCACAAGGGTACACGATAGGCGAAGTATAAGTTTCGCTGCCAATGTTGTAGTGTAATACTATATACCTAAAGTACAACTTGCGGGGCTCGGAGTGGTCAACTTTTTTTTCGCTCTTATTTATGTCTCTATTCGAGTATGTACTTGCTCACTCATTTTTTTTTTGTCCTGGCTTTCGAGTCTTTAAACCGGTGTCGACCTTGTGGACCCACGCACATGCAGAACCCTCCAGAACTTGCGGCCGAGGACATCGAGATTCTGGACGACAACGACAAAGCTGAGAGGCCCGAGCGGATGCGCATCAAATGGAACCCCAACAAACTCGTGAACAACAACAACACCAATGTCCAGCTGCACCTGTGGGGTTACAAGTGAGCATGGCCCGCTTCATCGACCAGTAGAACAGAGGAGATTATATACATTTTGAACTGAACTTAACTGTTAGGGCTTATGTTGACCTGTTGGTGTGCTTTACGGGGCCTGAAAGCTGTGACCCCAAGTTATACGGCGCATCTCTTCCGGCGAAATTAAATTTTCCTCAGGTGTATACGTAAAGAAGTGAGGATGTGAGAAGCTGATTTAAAATAAGAGCTGGGCTTCTCTGCAGACGCGATAGCTACATGTAATGTATACACCTTATTTAGGGTCAGGACGTGAGTTCTCATAGCAATAAAATATGAAGCACTACTACGCTAGAAGTTATAAATTATGTATCACACTGACCGTGTGTTCAAGTAAGTCTGTTCTCGGGTCACTCGATTACACTTCGGAAATATTTGAGCCAACTGCGACGCCGCTGTTGTCATTTGACTCCTCGCCTATGTCCTAGGTAAGTGGACGTCTAAGAAACAAACAAGTCAAAAAGAGGCGCTGACGCCCCACCGCGGTGGTCCAGAGGCTAAGGTACTGGGTTGCTGATTCGCAGGTGCGGGATCGAATCATGGCTGGGACGGCTGCATTTTCGATGGAGGCGAAAATGCTGTAGGCCCGTGTGATCAGATTTGAGTGCACGTTAAAAAACCCCAGGTGGTCAAAATTTCCAGAGCACTACACTACGGCGTCTCTCATAATCATATGGTGGTTTGTGGACGTTAAACCCCACATATCACTCATAAAAAGCGACACTCACGCAGCTCATCTCGTCCTTGTTCGTTTGTGCGCTGAAAACAAAACAAGAACGATTAACATGCATCGAGAATCCGTTCTTTCAAGTTCCTACGTACGTTTCACATAAGGAGATCCTTCCGCCCCTATAGCCTCAAGCTGTACATCCAACACGAAATGAGCATATAATAACCGTGCTTTTCCCTATACCGATAAACTTCTACAACAATATTAGAATTCACACGGCCCTCACCTACTTGCCAACAACGACTCGGAAAATTATCTTTTTTTGTCCACTCTATTGTACCGATACCCCGCCCGTCTCACCTGGAGTTTTCCTTCGTAGAATAATTTCCAGCGCAACGCATTAGACACATGAAGTTATCTGCGATTAATGTTCTTTTGAACTACCTCCGAGGCACTAGGCATTGCAAGCTTTCTGCGTCTCACAAGTTCTTCCAGTGACACCAGGATAAGCCCATCTTTGGCCAATCGATGATGCAATGTGATGACGTCAACATATGATGTTTTAACGACGTCATATGGGACGTCATCAAGTGATGATTTTTGGCATCACTGGTGTTGAGGCTGACGCCACCAACTGTCAATATCCGCACTCGATGAGGCATCTAAGGTTTTTCACCTTAAGGGAGCCCTGCAACACTTTTTGAGCATGGTCAGAAACACTGCCGATCGGTAGTAGAGGCTCCCGACAACACGCGAGACAAATATTATAGCACAGCACGTGGCCTGAAATTTACAATAAATTATAAAATTCAGGTAAAAATTCTTTTCTCTTCTCTCGACGAATCACGTTATATGCCCGAAAATCACACGTCAACGACCCATATATTAGCGATTGGTTGATTTGTACACGACGCGCGCGCTTGTTACAGAGATCGCCGCGGTAGGCCGCTACTTGTCCACGCGCGATCACACTGACAAAGCCGCGCATTCGACGAAAAAAAGAAGAAAAGTGCTCAAGGTCACGAGGCGTGCGTGACGTTTCTTGTTTGCCCCTCCCATCGCTCCATGCTTAGCTTTCAGCGCTTTCGTCAGAACGAGAGGAGAGAGAATGCAATTGCAGCATGCGACAAACCTTTGTAACTCCACTCGCACTGGACTGATTCTTAAAATTTTTGCGGCGTTGAATTCTTGTGGCAAAAAGCTCTTACAGTCAATTCATTTCATGGTTACTTGAAAAAAAAATGTTCCAGGACCCCTTTGATAAAAAAAAAGAGAACTCGCACTTTTTATCGCTGCAGCGACGACTTGGAGTACCCGCAGCTGACGTACATCGACACACTGGCGAGCGGAATGCGCAACGGAGAGATGCGCTACACGCTGAACATGGAGATGTACCGCGAGCGCTACAACTGGGATAAGCTGCACTTCAAGTTCGGCTTCCTCAGCATTAACCTCACCGACGGCAGCGCCATCGCCAAGGACTACAAGAACTCGCCGTAAGTTTGCACGCTTATTCCACGTTACCGTTGCGGCTTACTTAGGGAAGCTTTAAAATGCACCGATACTTTACAAAACTTCAGCCTGTGACGGCGCCGCAACAGAAACAAAGCAAGCTGTAGAAGCCACGCGAAAGGAGGAAAAGAAATACAGATAAAAAGTGCTTCTAATTTATTATTTCTTGCGACAGGCACAGTTTTTTTAGGACGAAATATGTGCTTACCATGCTGCTAAACTCCGTCACAAGAAGTTTTGTGCTAGAAAAATGCTAACACGTTTTGCACTTTGACATTTACGAGAGAATTAACGAAGACAATGAAACATAAACGACAGTCCTGTTAATTTTTCATTCTTCGCAGGAAAAGGAGTAATCTATAGCGCATTATGTAAAGGTGAAGCATCACTGTTTTATATTTTAACGCGATAGCGTCAAAGAGCTCCTTTATCAGAAATTCCGGCGTCGGCGTCATTGGTTGTCATCGAAAAATCATCATCTTTGCGTGACCAACAAATCAATAAAAATGAAAATAAAATATATGATTTAATAAAATAATAAACGATATATATTGTCGCGCGTGAACAAGAGGGACTTCAGGTAAAGAATACCGCGTAGTCACAGAGGCGCAGGTCAGGGACACCACAACCAAAAAACAAAAGCCTCGGCGAGAGCGCGCTAGCCCAACAACTTCTTCCTCGTTTTTTCTCCTCGATGCGGGCTCGTGCTCGCCGCAGTTCATGGCCAGGTGGCATTATTCCCCCACTGAAAAAAAAAAGCATCGCCCCGATGCTCGCGCGAATGGTAGTGGATAAGCGGAAGTAAAGCAGACATGCACACTGTGGGCACACTTAAGAAAAAAACAACAACAAAAGAACAAGGCTGAGGCACGGTCCCACTAACGTACGAAGTACGGCTTGAGCCGTACAACGTGAACAATCTCTGGGTAGTGCTTTCGACGCTGGGGTGACATGGTTCCATATGGAACCACCTCATAATTCACGTCACTGATGCGACGCACTACTTTGTAGGGTCCAAAGTAGCGACTCAGGAGCTTTTCGGACAACCCTTGGCGGCGAACCGGAGTCCATACCCAAACTAGATCTCCTGGGTGGTATTCGACCTGTCGATGGCGAAGATTGTAGCGGCGTGCATCTGCAGTTTGTTGTTGCGTGATATGCAGGCGTGCCAACTGTCGAGCTTCTTCGGCAAACTGAGCAAGCTGCTCAGCGTCAGGTGTGAGCGACCCGTCGTAATCGTGTGGCAACATAGCGTCCAACATGGTCTGGACCTCACGCCCATAGACGAGACGGAACGGTGTGAATCGTGTCGTTTCTTGGATGGCAGTGTTGTAGGCGAATGTTACGTATGGAAGAACCTGATCCCACGTCTTGTGTTGAACGTCTACATACATGGACAACATATCGGCGATGGTCTTATTAAGTCGTTCCGTCAGGCCGTTAGTCTGCGGATGATACGCCGTCGTCTTGCGATGGCTCGTGAAGCTTAGCTTGAATACATCGTCAATGAGCTGAGCCGTGAAAGCTGTTCCGCGATCAGTGATGACGCAAGACGGGGCGCCATGGCGAAGAACGATCTGTTCGACGAAAAACTGGGCAACATCGGAAGCTGTAGCTCGTTGCAGGGCTCTTGTCTCGGCGTATCTCGTTAGATAATCTGTCGCTACAACTATCCATTTGTTACCGGCAGATGACAGAGGAAACGGCCCCAGTAAATCCATGCCTATTTGATCGAACGGCGACCTTGGTGGTGTGATTGGTTGCAGCAGGCCTGCAGGCTTCAGTGGCGGAGATTTGCGGCGTTGACATTCACGGCAGCTTTTCACATATCTCTTGACGTACATAGCAAGTCTCGGCCAGTAGTACGCCTGTTGAACTCTGGCGAGAGTTCGTGAAGAACCTAGATGCCCGGATGTGGGTTCGTCGTGGCAGGCCAGAAGAATGTCGTCTCGCATGTCAGATGGGACCACTAGCAAGTAGGCTTTCCCATTGCCGTTCGAGTTTGATTTATACAAGACACCGTTCCGCAGGCAGAACGAAGAGAGATTGCGAGAGATGTGCCGAGGTACGGGTGTGTTGCGTCCTTCTAGTTGGTCAATGATTGCGCGAATCTCGACGTCATCGTGTTGTCGTGCGATCAAGTCTGTTGCAGTGAGGACTCCGAGGAAGCCGCAGTCATCGTCATTGTCGGGATCACAAACTCCAGTAGGTGCACGTGACAAGGAATCAGCATCTTCGTGCTTGCGGCCTGATTTATAGACAATGGTAAGGTCAAACTCTTGCAAACGAAGGCTCCATCGTGCCAGACGCCCAGACGGGTCTCGTAAATTGGCTAACCAGCACAATGAGTGATGATCAGTAACTACTTTAAAGTGACGACCGTAGAGGTAAGGCCTGAATTTCATAGTGGCCCACACTACTGCTAGGCACTCTTTCTCCGAGGTGGAATAGTTCATCTCGGCGCGAGACAGGGCACGGCTGGCGTAAGCTATCACGCGCTCGGTGCCTTCTTGATGTTGGACAAGCACGGCGCCGAGACCTACATTGCTCGCGTCGGTATGAACTTCCGTGGCAGCATCCTCGTCGAAGTGAGCAAGAACTGGTGGTGCCTGCATACGCTCACGTAGATCGATAAAAGCCGCGTTCTGTTCTTCATTCCAAACGAATGGTACGTCGTCACGTGTGAGACGAGTCAGAGGCTCGGCAATTCTAGAAAAATTGGCGATGAAGCGACGATAGTAGGCGCACAGACCGAGGAAGCGGCGTACTGCTTTCTTGTCACGGGGAACGGGAAAGGAGGCTACGGCGGTTGTCTTGTCGGGGTCAGGTCGAACACCGTCTGCGCTCACAACATGCCCCAGAAATTTAAGTTCTTTATAGCCAAAGTGGCATTTTTCTGGCTTCAGCGTGAGGTTCGCGGAGTGGAGTGCTTCCAGAACAGCCTGCAGACGTTTCAAGTGTTCCTCGAAAGTGACCGAAAATACGACGACATCATCGAGATAAACTAAGCAGGTGTTCCACTTCAGGCCGGTAAGAACAGTGTCCATCATTCTTTGGAATGTCGCTGGTGCAGAACACAGGCCGAAGGGAAGCACCTTGAATTCATACAGGCCGTCCGGTGTAACAAAAGCAGTTTTTTCTCGGTCTCTTTCATCAACCTCAATCTGCCAGTATCCGCTTTTCAAGTCTATGGATGAAAAATACCTTGCTCGCCGTAGTCTGTCTAGTGAATCATCGATGCGTGGCAGAGGATACACGTCTTTTTTTGTCACGTCGTTCAGCTTTCTGTAGTCCACGCAGAAACGCAACGTTCCGTCCTTTTTCTTTACAAGAACGACTGGCGATGACCATGGACTATTGGACGGCTGTATAACATCATCCTGAAGCATCTCTTCGACTTGAGCATTGATCGCGTCACGTTCTTTGGCAGAAACTCGGTAGGGTTGTTGCTTTATGGGCGAGACATCGGTGTGTATAATAATCCGGTGTTTCATAAGGGGCGTTTGACGCACCTTTGAGGATGAAGCGAAACACTCTTGAAATTCAAGCAACAGCTCCTGCAGCGCTGTGCGTTCTTTCTGCGTGAGGCTCGAATTGATGTCCACCTTTTCAAGAGCCTTAGAAACGCCGGTCGATGTCGATTGTAGCCCACTATTTATTGATGCGGCAGAAAAACATTCAGCAACGTCTTCGATGGGGTAGGCGAAAGCGATAGCGGTGCGTCGAAACAGGTGCCGCTGCTCATTACTAAAATTTGTCACAAGCAGCGTGGCACGTCTGTCGTGAAGCGTAATGAGGCTGCGGGCTGCGCAGACACCTATGCTAAACAAAAGTGTCAAGTTGCCTTCGGCGACTGCCTCACCGTCACGTATCTCGTCACACACGACTTCAACCAGGATGCTTGAACGTGGAGGCAACGTGATTATGTCGGCCGAAACACGAAGCGAACTGAGATGGCTGTCATCAGGCTTTTCTGCTTTGTCTGTAGAGAACGTCACTGTGCGCTGTCGGAGGTCAATGATAGCGCCGTATTCACGTAAAAAGTCGATGCCTAGGATGAGGTCTCGGGAGCATTCAGGAAGTATAAGGCAGCTGCAGAGAAATGTGCGTTTGCGAATGCCGACTCTAATCGTGCAGATACCGAGAGGGGTGACGACGTGCCCGCCGGCTGTACGGATTCGTGTCCCGTGCCACGGCGTACCCACTTTCTTGAGATGCGTCGCCAGTTTTCTGCTCATGATGGAGTAGTCGGCCCCTGTGTCTAATAAAGCTGTAATATCGTGGCGGCCGTCGAGCACTACAGGTATATCTAGGGAAAGTCGGCTTTCTGATTCGGGAGCTGTCGTCGTTGAACCACTGCTGGTACGTACTCGCATGGATTGGGGCCCTTGTTCGTGTCGTTTATCAGCGGCCCCGCCCCCGAAGGTCGCTGTCGTTAGTTTTCCCGCCTAGGGCTGAGCGGCCGTGCTGGCGCCGCCCCTGGGTAGTTCGGGACACTTGACGAAGACCTTCTTGGAGATGGTGATCGTGACTGGCGCCGCGGGAGCAGTGGCATGCGCTGCTCGGACAGGTACTCCTCAATCGCTCTGGGTCTTTCGCCAAATCTTGGCCTGGGTGAGTCGACGGCGAAACCCTGAAGTCCGAGGCGACGGTACTGGCATTCGCGGTACACGTGTCCGGCTTCGCCACAGTGGTAGCACAGCGGCCGCCTGTCCGGTGTGCGCCATACGTCCGATTTCCGCGGGAGGAGCTGCCGATTCTCGAAATGCTGGACTGGTTGAACTGCTGGGAGTGGATCGCGATGTGCAGGGTGTACGAAACGGCGTGGAGGAGCGTAACGACTCGCAGCTTCGGCGTACGATGCAGGAGCGACGTAACAGCTCACAGCCTCGGCATAAGATGCACGGTGAGGCTCGATCGGTACAGGCGGGGAAGCATCGTTGGACAGCGGGACTTGCAAAGCCTGCTGTACTTCACTCCTGATGAGGCTGGAGATGGATCCCGCAGCAGGTGGAGGCGGCCCGTGAATCTTCTGCAGCTCGTCGCGTACCACCGATCTGATGAGGTCGCAGAGAGCTTCGAGATTGACGTTACTCCCCGCAACTCCAATCTGGTCCACCGGCGAGGCAACATTCACGTGGCGGTCGTACACAGCTGATCGCTGCTGCAGCATGTTTTCCATTGTCGTTGCTTCAGTTAAAAACTCTGCCACAGTATTCGGGGGACTTCGCACGAGACCAGCGAAGAGTTGCTCCTTAACTCCTCGCATTAGGTGGCGCAACTTCTTGTCTTCTCCCATACCTGGGTCAGCGCGACGGAAAAGGCTCGTCATGTCCTCCACGTACGCCATCACGCTCTCGTTCGGCATTTGGATGCGTGATTGGATGGCCCGTTCCGCTCGTTCACGGCGATGGGGGTCAGCGTAACTTGCCAGCAGCTGACGGCAAAACATCGTCCACGACGAGAAGGGTTCGCGGTTTTCGTACCAAGTACGAGCTCCGTCCTCAAGGCTGAAATATACATTCCGCAGCTTGTTGGCGTCGGTCCACTCGTTGAAAGCCGCAACGCGTTCAAAGTGAGCCAACCAGTCCACAACATCCTCCAACATGGAGCCACGGAACACCTTCGGCACTCGTGGCTTCTGCAGCGTGTAATTAGCCATCGGAATATTTTCCGTACCGCTCTGGGGTGGTGCAGTTGATGCCATCTCCGGTAGAGGTTCACGCTCGGGGGACAATCCTCGGATTCTCCGGCTGGCCCGGTGGACAGGTGTTGCGACTGCGGGTATAGGGCTCCCAGGAGGCGTTTGGATCATTGACTGGGAATACCCAGCGACTCCACCAGTTGTCGCGCGTGAACAAGAGGGACTTCAGGTAAAGAATACCGCGTAGTCACAGAGGCGCAGGTCAGGGACACCACAACCAAAAAACAAAAGCCTCGGCGAGAGCGCGCTAGCCCAACAACTTCTTCCTCGTTTTTTCTCCTCGATGCGGGCTCGTGCTCGCCGCAGTTCATGGCCAGGTGGCAATATAAAAGAGATCGAACCCAGGTCGTTTGCGTGGCAAGCGGGTGTCCTACCACACAGCCACGCCTCTGCTGATGAGGACAGTGAAAACACCTTCCTCTGCTTGGAAATGCAGTGAGAGTAACTTTTCATGCTTTACAAACACAAACGTCCCAATTGTATACATGCTTCACAATACAGCATGAAATATAGTCGTAATAATGCGTGGTACAATGGTTCATTGCCATCGGCTGTCAGACCATGGGATTATCATAATGACTTAATAGTTTAAAGCCGTTCACCCCCAAAAGGCACACGTTACTGCACCCTTAAGGTCACCTAGTTGGTGTATAGCAAGTTCGAAAAGGCTCTATACACTGTAAGAAATATTACGTTCAGGAATTAATCAACTCATCCGATTTGTGTAATTAACTGTTAATAGCTCTCCACAGTTCTGTACTATTTTACTACTTCAATTTGCCTTTGTATAATTGATAACACTGATAATGAAACATGTTGCATTTGTCACGTAGAGTTCATTAATATTGTTTTTTGTCTTCACTTGCTTTTGACAATTTCCTTGTTATTTTTCAATAGTGAGTATTACCATTATGTTGTGTATTGATCGTATTTTTATTGTTAATCAAGATTATTCATTATAACTCACAAGTCCGTATACTATTGATGTATTTTTTGTAATTACCCCATCCATGTAGCCATAGGAGGTCCCCCTGTCAGTTTTTCTGAAACTTTGGGACCTCCTGCTGTAATAACGCTAACCATGTAACTCAACTGAACTATTTAATAAACTTGACTTGACTTGCCTAAGAGTTTGAAGTACGCTCTAGGAGCAGAATATCGCGTTCGGTTCTTAAAAACGAAGCTTAAGGGTCCTCCAATTTTTTTCCCAGACTGAAGCTGCTTCAATTACTTCAATGCGATTTCACGAATTTCGTCACATATTCGTCAGTACAGTTGGGCAAGCACGTTGTCATGCCGCAGGACCATCTGGAGCCGACCGATGCCGCTGGCTTGGTACTTCGCGCATCAGTGGGACCGAGCGTACGGCGCCAACTGGAAGGACCGCTTCTGCAACGAGTGGTTCGAGCGGGAAAGCAACGCGGACAGGTTCGCGCTGACTTTGTGGCGCTGTCCGTGCACCATGAAGCAGTCGGACTTCGACCGGGGACGCTTCGCGCCCGACAGCAGCTGCAACACGTACACCAAGAAGTGCGACCCTCTACACAAGGGGGCCCAGCACTGCGTCAGAACCGGAAGGCCCTCGTGAGTGATCTAGCACACTTCAAAGTTGAATGTTATTCGGAAGCCTCCCAAAAGTGACGCGAAACCCCCTGTCGCACCCGATGAAAATGTCCATAAGACGTATTGTCTCACATCAATATCACGAAGGCATTTCACCGATGAGAACTCCTTTTCTACGGACTGTTGTGCGGGCGTACAAGGAAAAGCACCAGGAGCATTCACCTTCGATAAGTGCCGCCGAGTACCCACTTTCCGTTATCTTCTTTCGATCCCCTTTCATCTGCCCCAATGACGCTTAGCCATGCTTCTTTGCAGAAATAAGGGTCTTTCTTAATAGGAAAGGCGCGGCTGCGTCTGTAACGATCTTTCTGAGCAGTACAGCAGGCATGCGCGGCTTCTCTTGTCGGAAACGTCGTTAGCATTCGTGCGAGGTCTACTGTTCGAGGGAAAGGGACCTTAGCATACGCGAGTGCATGGCTCCCGATTTAATGAGGGACTTTATAGGCTCCCGCTCCGCGCAGCGCCACGCATGGCAAGCGGCGGAAACCAAGCGCTCGCGCGAAACGATTCAGAGGCGGCACATGCCGCACGTCGTGTGCTACTGGAACGCCCTTTTACTTCGCCCGAGGGTTTCAACGCTGTCGCAGCCCTATCGATAAATCGCGCGTCAAAAAGCCATGTGACAAGTTTAAATGAATTCGTACTGATGAATACCTGCCCTGAAGAAGAAGGTTCGCTAGGCACCAGGCCCGAGCTATAGTTGGTTCATTGTTGCAGCAGGGGAAGAAACAGCGTAAAAGCATTTGACGCAACTCAAGACGCGGTAGGAATGACAACAGCGCAGTTTACTTTCCCGCACAACGCTGTTTTCGTTCATTCGTCGTGTTGGGTTCCGTAAAAATTACCTGGGGTGCGATGCAGGATGGTCCGACCTTCTCGGCAGACGAGTTTGGTCCGAGCTTGCTCTGTAGTGGCCATGGCATGAAGATAGCGCGGAGCGCGTGATACCAGCATTGATAAAAACGGCTACAAGAGCGTGTGTGGCGTTGGCAACGCACGTGGGACATTTGCTGCGGTTATCAAAGTAACGGCGTGTGTGTGTCAACACGTCATCGTGTTGCCACTCAGTCAACATTCTAACAGTGCAGCGACTGTACCGTGATTGCCGCGCTATCTTTTTTTGCCAACTCAACACGCGTTTCCCACAGGCGTGTTTGTGGGCGTTTGCCCTCTTTCGGACAGGTTCTTTTGTTCCACCTGCAGCACGAAAATTTCCACTCCCGAAGGCAGCAAGGGTGCACACGCAGCACTCCTGAGCTAGAGCTGCTCGTTTCAAACATCGCAGATAAATAAAAGGACAGGTGGCCACCAGGGGTGCTCGCATCATGGCGGCAACGCGGCTGTGATTGGCCACGTCGTGAGCGCGGTGAAATTGAATGCGAAACATCGTAGCCTCTTGGTGATATCACTTTTACTTCTGCGTGCGTGTGTGCATAGTCTGCGCGATAAAGCTGATAGATAAATCGTGCCGCTTGATGAGAGTACTGCTCCTCGGCAAGAGCAAACGTGGTGGGCGTACCCAATCCCCGCTGCGGGCGTCTGTCAATCAAACTGATTGACGCGTAAACTCGGATACAAACTCGTTCGTTCTGAGAAGGCCTGAGTTCAATTCGGGACTGTGATGGTGCTGGTGTGTCTCTCAAGCGTTTGATGCGGCGAACGCTAAGCGGCAGCTCCTTTGCATATAAAATAATTTGGTGAGCTTACACTACTTGTGCAAGGCTGGAGCCATGGAGCAGCTTATGATAACCTAGCTACTTGGAGCTTTTTTATGTTTGTCGTCTACTCATGTGCGTGATCGGCTTCGAAGTGAAGACTGCATCAGCTGTGTCTCAAGTTTGATTGGACTAATTGACTGAGTCTTAATGACCATTACACTGAGCTGTCTTGCCTTTATTGATAAGGCTTCAATTAAAATGTAATTATCTCGAGCGCCATTAGCAAGGCAACAATCAATATGAAGCTATTAAACGTAACCCTGATTATCATGATACTAATTGTCATAAAATTAGTAAGAGCTAATCAGCGTGGGTTTACTTAGTGCGCTCGTGATTAACATCAATTTAATTAACATAGTTTAATTAGTTCATCAACCAGTACGCATCAGTTAGCACGGTTCTAGCTTTACATGGCTTCATCAGCACGGTCTTCTTAAGATGTGGCGTAATTACCTGGGCCTTACTATGAGTTAGCGTAATTAGCTTGGTCATGGCCTGTCCTGGCCAAACTAGTGAAATATACCGTTCAGCCAAATTGCTAATTAGCCGGCCGCACGTGCTCGGGTGCTAGCAGGTGATGACAACAAAGACGAAGCGCAGTGGCCGAGCAGCGCGCTTGAATGTACGCGCTGACACGTGGCCTCGCTAGAATGTACAGGTTGACACATTGTCTCGGATCTAGCTGCTGTCGCGATATTGTAAGACGCTCGGCCAGTGCTGATCTCAGAGGCCGCCGTGCTGATTATTCTAAAACAGACTTAGTGCACGCATTAAGAGCTTGAAAATAAATTTAAACACCCCTTCCCCTAAAAAATATCATCACGAAAAGTTTCTCGCACTTTTATTGCATCGGTGCACTTCAGCACTCAGTGGAACGACCAACAGATGAAAGAAGATGCCTCTGGTTTAAAAAAAACCGCCCAATTTAGTCGACCATACTTGACACGATGAATAGTTCCATAGGCAATGAAACGCAGCGTGCTGAGGGGTAAATTTGACTTTTTCGTCCTGTTGGCTCATTCATAAGGGGGTGTCGCCAGAGCTCGGGAATATCCCTAGTTTGACGAAACTCGGCCTATCCTGCATAGAACCCCTGCGCTATTTCTTTCCCTCACGAATGAGGTCTGTGTACCAAGCGATTCGAAGCACTACTTGGCCGTCAGTGCGAATGTCTTTCACCGCGTTTGTATTTTTTGTTCCTGAAAAAGCTTAAATGAATATTCTTATGTACTTGTTGGGTGTAATGTTAGAAATGAGAATGAGGTGTACAGCTCACCACTCCTTCGAAATGTCTGCACGCTTTCATGTCCTTGCGCCCCGCCACGGTGGTCTAGTGGCTAAGGTACTCGGCTGCTGACCCGCAGGTCGCGGGATCGAATGCCGGCTGTGGCGGCTGCATTTCCGATGGAGGCGGATATGGTGTAGGCCCGTGTACTCAGATTTGGGTGCACGTTAAAGAACCCCAGGTGGTCGAAATTTTCGGAGCTCTCCACTACGGCGTCTCTCATAATCATATGGTGGTTTTGGGACGTTAAACCCCACAAATCAATCATCAATCAATCAAGCTTCCACGTCCTTGCCGCGCAATATATAGCACAGCTTTTAACAGACGATGGCAAGCTTGCGTGACAGAGCCGCGACGTGAGCAATCAAGGGGGCGTTTCAGTAGCAGACGACGCTGGACATGTACCGCCTCTGCGCCGGTTTTAGCATGCACTGGGTTTTCGTCGCTTTTTGTGCGTCTCTTTCTGAGCCACGTGCTCGCGAGTTCTCTCTAACAGCGGACCGACTTGTACCTAAATGTCCCTAACTATTCCGTTAACACAACGAACAAAATCATCAGGTTTCACTGCAGAAGGTTTTATCGTAATTTTTGCGATGGAGAGGAAAGCGATTGAGTGTAAGCACCGAGAACTGTCGCAAATGATCACGCTTGGAGATTTTGCCGTGGTTGTAATCGACATGCGTTGAAAGCTGTACTGCCTTTCATGTTTCGTGTGTAGAGTGGGTGGATCCGGACAGACCTGCTGTTACGACATGGAGGGCGAGCTGATGCTCACAGCGGATACCATGTACGGAGGACGACCGTCGCGAATCTTCAGCTACGGTATCCTGCCCTTCAACAGCCGCATGAAGGTGAGGACACCAACGATTTCTCGAAGAACGATGACTCAAACTGGGGTGCAGATTAAATAACAAGGAGGGACCGTGGAATCCTTCTTCCAGCGTGTAAAAGTGGCACTGCAGACCTCCTGCAGTAGTTAATAAACGTGATGAAGACGTACATAATATCACGCGAGAACCTTCTATATTCTAATCAATCACAAACTAAGGCATATTCTACATGTATGAAACAATGACGATGTCAATATCCGTATGGGGAGTATAACTCAGTATTTTGACGATTCGTATCTCCTAAGCTCGAGGGGATATATGACTAGCAGTTGTTCTGAAATTCTTTCGACGTGTCATAATATCAAAATAACTATTTCTTTAACTCGCTTTACAACGTTAACATCTTCCCATGCTCGTAAGCTTTCAGCTTAATAGCATATGTTCATGTCAAAAGGTATACGTAGACGGTCAACCGAATGCAAATGCATCTTGAGCTTTCAAACCTCCCGCGCAACTCTTAATTCACGAGCTGCTACGGCGCTCGGCTACTGACCTGAAGGTCGCGGGTTCGATACCGGCAGTCGCATTTCAAATGAAGGCGAAACGCGTGTTCTATGCGAAACCTGTGCACGTGAAAGAACATCAGATGGTCAAAATTTGTGCAGCCCTCCACCACGGCGTCTCTCATAATCATACAGCGATTTTGGGATAAAAAAGCACACATATTATTATTATTATTATTATTATTATTATTATTATTATTATTATTATTATTCAACGACATATAGCTTTCCTCATACCATTACGGTGAAACAAGTGTATACAGTAGTAAATCTGTGTCGTTTTATACGGTGCACCTGCATGATAGTGGCTTGTCCGCTGTCGCTGAACCACCAGAACATCGGCTACTTTCTGCTCGCGCGGATCTCGATGCAGTTATAAGATGAAGCACACCTTTCCGGTATAGCAGCCGTGTCGATGAAGAACGATGCACGATCTCGGCGCGCAGGTTCCGACGCTGTCCAACTGGAACATCGACTCGATGCCCTTCTTCTACTGCTGCCACTGGCAGCACACCAAGGACGACTCGACCTCGTGCCAGCAGTACAAGTACTGGCGCACGTCGCAAGACTGCACCGCCTACCAGCCACCGGGATACGGTACGTGTTGCCACGCCGCGCACATCGGTGCTGATGGGTTTCGCAAGGGCGGTATTATTCGGGCACGTTGGTTGTCCATGAAGTAAATAGAAGAATAAGAATGGGGTGGAGCACATTTGGCAAGCACTCTCAATTATGACAGGTAGATTGCCACTATCCCTCAAGAGGAAGGTATATAACAGCTGTATCTTGCCGGTACTTAGCTACGAAGCAAAAACATGGAGGGTTACAAAGAGGGTTCAGCTTAAATTGAGGACGACGCAGCGATCAATTGAAAGAAAAATGGTAGGTGTAACCTTAAGAGACAAGAAGAGAGCAGAGTGGATTAGGGAACAAACGGGGGTTAAGGATATCATAGTATAAATAAAGAAGAGGAAATGGACATGGGCCCGGCATGTAGCGCGTAGACAGGATAACCGCTGGTCATTAAGGGTACCTAACTGGGTTCCTAGAGAAGGCAAACGAGTTAGGGGAAGACAGAAGGTTGGGTGGGCAGATGAGACTAAGTAAGAAGTTTGTTGGTATAAATTGGCAGCAGCAAGCACAAGACCGAGTTAACTGGCGGCCTTTGTCTACAGTGGCCTTTGTCCTACAGTGGACGTAATCAGGCTGATGATGATGATGATAATGATGGTTGTCCATGACCGCGACGGTCACGATCATGACGCTGACGGTGGTATAAAATGGGCTAGAACAATGACACTGGACGTGCGCGTTGCATGCGTCCTTTTATTCCGCGTGACCTCCGTCTGGGCACTTTGCGCGAATTCCTTCCTCTCTAACACGACCGGACAACTAAAGCAGATCTATAGTTTTTGATGTGTTGCCTTACTGAATGCGCCACAAAAGGAGACAGCCAAACACCTTAGAGTGTAGAAAACTGGATGATCCGAAGCGATATCTCGCGCTACCATATATTCTAAAAGGTACATTGTGTCTTGCGCCATTCATTCTCCAGGTCAGAGATCCTTAAATAGGGGTCCGTGAAGAAATTTTTTGAAGTCTGTAATGAGCACACTTGAAAGAAAAAAAAAACGCATTTTTAGGCACTACGTTCTGTAACAACGGTCCCGCTTCGATTTTGTATGCTTCGCCGTATAACATTTTTTCATTGCGGCGGAGCTCAATTATGTATGTTTTCCCTATTTCATAGGAGTTTGCGTGACATAGCACTTGTGTTGCAGTTTTCTGCGACATATGCACGCAAGGATACTTTTTCTAGGCTTGCATACTTGAAGAGCAAACATAGCAAGAAACAGGTTGAACGTGGCTGCAGATCTCACGACTTCTTGATTAGCTACTAAGATCGAATTAGCGTGAAACTTAATTTCATCATTGTTTGCGAAGGCGAAATTAAACGCAATTTATTTCACACCAGCATGTTCTGGTAATTTCTAATCCCCTTCCACCCTTTAGTTCACTGCGAAAGGCTCTTCCGTTTCTTCCAGAGGTTCGCAAGCGGCCCCTGAAACATCCATGTCTGAAACAACTGCTACGATAGTAGTGAAAACTAATTCCATTTATAAGTGCAGGTCTAACCGCCGTATTCACAAATGCTCCTCGACTCAACTTTCACCCTTCACTTGACAGAGTTGCGCACTGCGCCGCTGCTCGGCTGAAAATGACGTTGCGCTACTCAAGAAAAGCAGAAAATTATCACTGATATGCAGTGACCTTCCTTGCCTAGAGATGGCGCTCCATCGGCGTTCTCAAGTGAAGGTGGAGAGCTGAGTGAAGGAGCGTTCTAGAATACGGGGGTAATACCCCTGTCACACGGCCACCACCAAACTCCGTCAACGTAAATCTCCCCAAGGGAGTTCGACGGAGATAGAGTTGTGGCAGTTTCATTAGAGCATCGCGTCCTCGGTTAAACTCCGTCAACGTAAATCTCCCCTAAAGAGTTCAACGGAGATGGAGTTGTGGCAGTGTTATGGAGATCGCTGAACGTCCTTTGCGAAATGCTCCGTTTACCTTCGTTCGCGTTAAGGGCGCACGTGTGACACGTGCCGCATCTCCGTTGTCATAAGGACGAGGGAGTTAAACGGCGTTCGCGGGCGCCCGTGTGACAGCGGTATAAGAGCGCAATGACAAACGCCGTTAGTACGTTGATCACAACGTTATCGTAACGAACGGCGTATAGAGTGATAACCAAACACGTCACTTCTCCGCCGGCAGCGCCCCTCGGAAGCTAGCTTCGAGTCAGCGCGACCCTCCAGGAAAAGCGCGCACACGACGTTGCCAGCCTTGTTGGCTCACTCGGTTTCTACGCTTATCTCACACTATTTGCAAGATAAGGCGCGTCGCGCTCACCTGCTATCACCGCCGCCACGCGGAACGAGGACCGACTAGAGGAGGTGAAGCGCGCTCAATTGCCAACAACGTCAGAAAATGCATTTACCAATCGCGATGGCGATGATATTTTGACTATCCGTGTATGGTGATGAGCGCCGGTCTGTGGAATTGTGTTCTCGAACTGTGCGTGTTTCCATTCGTCCACGCAGCTGCCGTGTTTGGCGACCCGCACTTCCTGACGTTTGACCGCGCCAACTACACCTTCACGGCTCGCGGCGAGTTTGTGTTGGTGCGGGTCAACGACCCCAAGGGCAAGCTCGAGATCCAGGGCCGCTTCGAGAGCGTGCGCAGGGCGTTGCTCACGGGTGAGTCTCACTAATTAAGCTTCCTCGTGGACTAGAAATTATTTGTACTAACAACTACAGTAAAACGATCTGCACAAAGTGCAAGAGAGAGAGAGAGAGAGAGAGAGAGAGAGAGAGAGAGAGAGAGAGAGAGAGAGAGAACAGAGCGCACTGTTTCGATCCTGTTCCCCATTTCCCCGTCATTTGTACTTTTTAGTGAGCTGGACGTTCTTGTGCCACTCCCAACGGGTATCACACCACGACGATGCGCTTACTGCCAAAGCGTTTCCAACGCGTCTGCTCTATATACGCTTCGAAAATCGTATCATCACTGCTGGAGCTGAACATACAGTTCATAAAACCTCGTGTACTATGGCTATTACAAAAGTTTTGTTTAATGCACCACAACTGAAAGAAAAAAAAGGGGGGGACGGGGTGAACTGAAAGTAAGCAAGCAACAAGGAGAAACAAACTATTACATACACGAACTAAAAATAAAAAAAAATCGGTGTGCATGAGCTATCGCTGGCTCTATAGCGACACGACGCGCCTATAGTATACGTATTTGTTCTCCTTTCAAGCTTCAATCTACACCGGAACTTGTGCCTGTTTTTGTTTGATATGCGGACTAAATGAGACGCTTTGGTACGAGGTTAGGTATCACTTTACGCCACATAAATTTTTTCCCCTCCCGAAAAGAACAGTACGTGTACAAAGCAATCGTATATAAATTCCTCCAAAATTCTGCAGATGCCACGTACTGTGAGAATCGATGCTATGCGAAGCGTACGGTGAGAAAGTGTCTGTGGTGCAATTCTTTCACTTGTTGGGCGAGACGTTACGAAATAGCACTGAAGATACGTACAAGTGTTATACGGACACACACACACGCTGAAGATATGCATGCGTTATATAACCAGTTATCTACACTTACGCAACTATGCAAGGATGCCAACAGCACACATGGCTAATGTCAACAGCAGAGGCGATTTATTGATCGATATGTAGCGTTGAACGTCCCAAAACCACCATATGATTATGAGAGACGCCTTAGTGGAGGGCTCCGGAAATGTCGACCACCTGGGGTTCTTTAACGTGCACCCAAATCTGAGCACACGGGCCTACAACATTTCCGCATCCACCGGAAATGCAGCCACCGCAGCCGGGATACGATCCCGCGACCTGCGGGTCAGAAGCCGAGTACCTTAGCCACTAGACCACCGCGGCGGGGCTACGCAACGATGCAAGGATGCCAACAGCGCACATGGGTAATGTCGACAGCAGAGGTGGAAAACTGGTGTGCAGTGCTCAGATACGTCCGTTAGGCGAAAATATCAGGCATCGCTTGATCCTTCGATCTTCGAGGCGCCTCGTATCCTATCCCATGGATTCCACAACCGACACGGAGAGGCGCATTTGACGTAGGCGCGTGCGTACGCACAAGTAATATGATCACCACGATCATTGAGCACCAGCAGCTGGACAGGACTTATTATCGGATCCGTCCGTCATTGCGGCCACGAGAGTCTAATTGGATAGTGAAGAATGAGGTGCAGCTTCAGTTGTAAATTGTGAATGTCTCTTACGAAGAAACGATCTACGATGCTTCCTGTACTGGACGTGCGAACGAGGTGTTGCGATGCCCTGTCCATATCGAAAACGCAGATGATACAGTGTAAAGACTAGACGTTGTAAGAAGTGAAGAGAACACTGCATCGTTCTGCAGGGCCATGCGCGTGGCATTACTGAACAGGAATGTCGGTGGGCGACATTACACCACAGCTGTTGTACTCGATGAATCATCACGCTATCAATCCTCACCTTGCGTGAGATCTGCCGAAATTTTGCATGTGTATGTTGGCTACTACTTATCAATCACCTGTGGCACATACCCGCATATGAACTGTGGTAAGCGAGTATGCGCCATACGTGACTGAGATAACGGGTTTCATGACGTACACGATAAGCACATCGCGTTATTCATGCTCCGACCAGTGAATCGTGTTCGCTGTATACACTGATTCCCTGCTATTCCAATTTTCGTATATTACAAGCTATGGAGACCACCAGAAGAATGCCCAGGCGGTTAGACAGATATAGATACAGAGACAGAAACCGCCAAGGTGCCCGAGGTTTGCTGAGAAATACTTCGCATCAAAAAAAGGAAAACTTTCGAAATAAAAAAATCGTACGTACTTTGTATCACTCACTTCAACTAGCAAGTAGTGGAACAGTTTGCGAGCATCTGTTTCAGAAAAGAGACGAATCGAGGCAGCACAACTTAAGCATTATTTTACTTATTATCGACGTATCTGGCGAGTGAAATATGACGCGAACGACCCGGGCAACTCATGTAGAAATTTCAGTGTTTGCCAGATTTGCATTTTTTTCCTCGAAACGATCAAACTCATAACGGGGAAAGCTTAGTACGTGCGATGCCTTTCGAAGCTTCACCGCTCTATTTCACAAACAGAACGCACACAACGCAGAGAATGGGACAGGACAGTACATTGCGTTTCTCAACGTTATCCATTTCGAAATCGTGCCGGAGGCTTGCGAGATGACGACGCAAGCAAACACCGCTTGACCATTTCGAAAATGCGACTTTGTGCAGCAAGCCTCAATGTTATAAGTTGACGGCTCCGCGTTAAAGGCAGTAACTGAGCGGTCATGTTCCACCCCCTGCACATACATATGTGGGATTCGTCATCTATGATACGATGTATACAGTAGTCGCGGCTACAGCAGGGCTTGGGTGTGCAGCTGCCACAAATGAAGGCACCAAGGTCAACGCAACAAGCAAAAAAATAAAAAAATAAAGGAAGAACAGAAAGATGGCAGGGCCCCAATAGAGCCCCGCCGCGGTGGTCTAGTGGCTAAGGTACTCGGCTGCTGACCCGAAGGTCGCGGGTTCAATTCCCGGCTGCGGCGGCTGCATTTCCGATGGAGGCGGAAATGTTGTAGGCCCGTGTGCTCAGATTTGGGCGCACGTTAAAGAACCCCAGGTGGTCGAAATTTCCGGAGCCCTCCACTACGGCGTCTCTCATAATCATATGGTGGTTTTGGGACGTTAAACCCCACAAATCAATCAATCAGGGCCCCAATAGATCCTTCCGCTCTTATCTAGTCTCCCTCACTTTATTTTTTGGTTTTTGATCGCATGATTCCACGCGATATTGAACCGAATTGCAGCGTGAGAAGTTGACGCAACACGCATGATGCCGAACAACGCAATAAGAAGGCGGGAGAGAGTAAAAACAAATAGATGCAGGATTGCACGTATTGCCCACAGTCAGCGTATAAGACCCACGAGTTGTAGGGAAAAAGTGTCCGTGATTTTATATTAAAGGTAAGCATTCGGTTTTCCTGAAAACAGGAAGTAACAACCACAGGCGAAGTATAAGCTATCCGAATATCGGAACGCACAGCAGACGCCAGCAGCAATTGGCAATCGTGCCCTCTGTCCAATGTCAAGGCGAGGGACTTGTGTCTGCAATAGCCTCCTGTACGTCAACAGAGTGCGCATCTCAGGCCTGTTTACCCGTGAAGGACAAACCGGTCAGACTTTGAAACGTCGCTGGTCTTAAAATAGTATTCGGTGGGGAGTTTTACGCGAAGCTTTCATTACGAGTTGCAGATCGCGGTGACACAGTTCGCGGAAAACCCGGAGCCGGCGAGCGTGGGTGTACGAAAAAGTGCGCCGGTCACCGGCTCATTTGTATGCGCCGCTTTCCAATAACCGATGCTCTCTCGATAGTCGGCTTGTCAGCGATCAGCTGTTTCAGGTGTTTTACCGAGATCAATTCTCATTTCACGTTGGCACGTTTCAATGTTGTCTTTCATTAATTGTTTCACGCATGACACTATTGCAGGCCCGTAGACAAGAACTTTTTAAATGCGCAGCGTTTCTCAGCGAACTTCGGCGACTTTGAGCGTATCTATCTATCTATCTAGCCGCTTACGTTTGGGTGCTGTGAAGGTCTACCCCTTCACTTGGCGTGAACAAAAATTAGCTTGGGAGTGTAAGATGGTTTGACGAATATGACGCGATGGTCAAGACATGAATAATGTCACAATCCCGTCGCATACGTCGTCAAAGATTTCGCGCCAGACAGCGGCGCATAAGCACGGGTGGGTATGTGCCGCTGGTATGTGGGTATGTGCCACAGGTGGTTGACACTTAGTATCTACCCAGGAACGACGAGAACACACAAAGGCAATTTCAACGCTTGAGTGTTAAGGAATGCCCGACATCGGTAGCGTCGACCCAACGAAGGCATAAAATAAATGCCAGTGTTAACAAAAACCTGACATAGGCAGCGTTGCATATAAGTCGTTGCATACGAATGCATATAACAAATTTCAGGGTCCCAGCTGGAATCGAACCCAAGCATTCTGCGTAGCAATGAAGCATTCTACCACAGAGCTACGACAGGTCTCGGAAATGCTGTTCAAATAGACGCTAACCTTCGTGAAATGCCAATAGTGGTTACAGTGCTGCCTACCCAATTTTTCTAAACATTACATAAGCATTTCTTTGATACGGCCGTCACGTCAGGTTAACGTAAATTGTGATTAGTTGCCATGCGCTGAAGTTGGTTTATGTAACAGTGCCCAGGGCCAGCATTTTCGCGAGCATCAGCGCTCCATATCAGCTTCCGGTGTTGCTAGTACGTATGTTCCAGTTGGCATCGTTGCGCAAGTGCAAACATCTTGTTTTATAAAGATCTGCAACTCTTGAACATATTTCTGTGCGTGCAACATTTGTACATACATTTAGCATCATTTCATGACGTGTCGCTCAATAAAACAAATGCAACACGGTCACCTTTCCTCTGCATGCTTTGCATAACGTCGATTCCCAGGTACGTGGGATCTGACGAATTTTTTCGGGTGGGGGTGGGGGTGTTGAAAGCCTTGAAAAAAACGCCTCCTTTTCTTATTTTGCCTCGGCAAAACACTACTCTCCATTTGAATTACACAAAGGGGGCCGGGGCACCCAAGCCATGGGGCTGGAGTATTGTTGCCCGTTACTTCATAAATGTTGCGCTGATAAGAACATAGGTGAAAGTCCAATGTCCGGAATAGAACAAGAAACAGTTAAAAGGAAGCGATGAGTAATTAAAAAATAAAAAAAATAAAAATAAATAAATCAGACACGACCACTGGAAGCTTCGTCAGCTTCAGTTTTCCTTATAGGGCAACGCAGAAGACGCTGGGCGAGGGCTCCAAATGCTTCCTTTTGAATTAAGCTGATCATGACTGCGTGTCCACTCGGCGTCGCCTTCTTTATCCCTATCAAACTGTAACTTTCCCTGCAGCACCACTGTTCGGCAGTGAAGCAACATTAACGTATAAAGAACCATTTTGTTTTAGCAATTTGGATGGACGGCGCTGACATTTATAAGCGCCTTTATAGTACTGGAAAAATGTAGTTTCAAGAAATCCTAAAATTTTCAGCAACTCATCAAAAGATTATAATAACACGACTGTTCAGTAGAATTTTTTATAACTGCATATTTTCAATTTCAAAACATAAGAATAGGGAACCCATCAACTTCAACATTTCATGATAATCCATGAATGGCTGTACGTTTTGAGCAGCGGAATGAAGGCAGATGCCACTTAGTTCATTCGTTCTTTGTTTTTTTAGTGTGTGCACTTATTATACAACTTTAAAAGCTATGGTCCACGTAAAATCATCGATACTGACACAAGTTTATTGCCGCAATACCTGGCGTTTAGTTTGCACAAAAGTTTGGGGAGACTTTTCCTGTTATCCACTAGAAAGTATCTTAAGCTTTACGCAATATCATTTAAACCCGCGGCATCTTGCAATGTTACTACGTTACCACCCTGTAGGGGCCGTTAACCCACCAACCTCATCTCAACCACATCACGCACGCATTTCTAAAAGGTCGGAAGCACTTCATTTGTCAGAAAATATGGAAAAAAAAAGATAAGTATAGAACTTGGGAAGAAGTAAAGATCAACGAAGATGCAATGAACGTCATACTGGTGATACTCGGGAAAAATGGGAAATTTGGCTGACTAAACGAGGTTAACAGCGTAATTAGTCCGAAAGAGTTCACTGAAGTGCTTGACTTGGTGATAATTTGAAATGTGAGGTTCGGCAACTGAGCAAGTGACATGTTGACGCTCACACGCAGATCGCATGGTGAACGGTACTTTCCTGAGTGCCGTTGCCGTTCGCGACAATGTTTCCTCGACTGTCGGAGATTCACCTGCGACCCCTGGCGGCGAGGTTTATCTACCAGCTCTACCTGGTCGTCGACAACGAGTTCATCTACTTCTGGGACGACACCATGCGCATACAGCACTTCAAGGGTATGCATGCACTTTCTGTCTGAGTAAAAGTGAACCTGATTGACCCTTTGTATTTGCCTTGGAGCCACCTTCTTTATTTTGCGTTGAAAGTCCTTCTCGCTTGTCCTTCTCTCGTGTTTTTTTTTTCATGCCATAAGCTACGTTAAAAATGAAATAACTCGCCCAACAAGTCACTCTGTTCAAAGCCAGGTCGGTCGGTCCAGCTTGAAGGGTGGGGTACAGCTAACAGGAACGAACGGGAGAGTGGGAAGTATAACTTCATTTTTCGTGCAATCAAGGTACTGTTGCACATTTGCTATTTACATGGTAAGGGAAATAGTGCTATAAAAATAATTAACATCTGTTATGGTATATTCACAGGTCTACCAGGCTACGCGTCTGGTAGACTAGGCGAGTAGCCAGAAATTTTTTTCGAGGGGGAGGGGGCACCTTTTTGATTCCGGAAGGGGCACCTCTTGAAATGGTCATTTCTCTCTGCTATGCCGTCGCGAAAAAAAAAAAGGCCCGTATCTGCATGTAATCTGCAAATGTCGTCGAAAGACGATAGTCTTGCGTGTGGAGAGAGTGAACAAAACATTTATCTGATGTTCTGCGCAAGAAAATCGGTGAATGGTATTCCGGAGGCGCTGCGTTAGAGTGCCTCGAGCGGACAGCAGAGGCTCACGAGCGGATCAAGTCATGTCACACGTGAGACATGAGCGCCATCTGGCAGTTTCTTTTGGAAAACAAAGCGCGTGGCCGTGCGCGTCCGTCTCAGAGGTGATAAGGTGTAGAACGCGAGGCGACGGGTAGGTGCCACCACCATCTCGTCTTAGCACAGCGTTGGAAACACTTCCCGTTCCGTGCAAGCGTTCCATGGTAAGCGCAGCGTGATAAGCGCTACGGCCCTTAAAATTACTTAGGTATGCCTTTTTCTAGTAAGAGATGCATATACAGAATATATACGTGTTATGATGCCCCAGACATGCGCAATAATTGCTTTTTAATTGACAATTGCGCAAGCATGAACGCTCAACCTTGAACAACATTGGTGGTCGCTGCGGATGGGGTCGGCCGTTTCAAGTACCCTATGCCGGTAAGAGTGGACAAACAGACAAGTTGTACAGAAGACAGACAGACAGGCAGACAGACAACAAAATTTTTGCGTCGGAGGTCCCCAAGAAAGACTATCGTCTTTAAAAAAATTCAGGGGGTAGGGCACGGGTCCATTGTACGCCACCCCTTCGGTACGCCCCTGAGCCAGATTGAAGAACACACAAGAGTACAGATAGCGGTAAACAGCCACATCTGTTCAAAACAGCCAACGCAGCATAAACAAACACATGTAGATACGCTGCTGTACTCCTGTCATGACTAAAAAAAAAAGAAACAACCGTTCTGTTACCTATAAGTCAAGTTTCATATATCTATAGTTTAATATCTGTCTCTTCAAATTTGACGTTTGAACTTTACTGGTACGTCCCACAAAAGTTGTACTTACTCGTAGAGGAATAAAAATGCCGAGAATTCGAGCTGCACGGATCGCCCAAAAGATGTTCTAAGAGATGTCGCGATTTCCGTCCGCTTCTTTCGAAAAAGTTGCAGTTTCAACCAAGGGGGGCGAAGCAATGAATTAGACAGCAACAACAATGGAATGTCAGGCTAGCAGCAAGCGTGGAACTCAACGAAACGCTGACGTACGCAAACGCGGCGCTGCAGCGAGCGAAGCGACATTCGCGCTGTCTGAAGGCCTGACCACACGTAGTCGCTGCAACGCGGCGGCATCGAGCCCTCTCCTATATGGAGAGAAAAAGCGCGCGGCTTCGCGTATAGCCACAAGAGGGCCCGGCGCCGCGTCAAAAATCCTCACGCTGACGCGCTGCGACGGATACGTGGGGTCAGGCCTTGACGCTTCGACACATTAGCAATACGAACAAAGCATGGGCAAAGGTGAGAGCCGTCGGCTAAATCTTGTCAAGATGGGGCGCGCGCGGCCGCTCAAAGTATACGCAGTTATTTGAGCTATCCGCGACCCCTCATTCAATTTTCGCGCGACGGTGGACGACGGCCGGCGCGGTCCGTCTCTGCTTGAGCTGCGGTCGTCAGCTGCCTTCGCATGCAGAACACACAACGCTCGAGGCGAAGTTATCAAACCTGGAGGTCACACGGAACCTCATTGCGACGCCGATGGCAAGAATTCACCTGTGTAACTACGGCAAGAATGCGCCTGTAGGGCCCGTGTAATTTGCTATCGCAATTATTGAGCACGAGAGGGGGGGGGGGCAAGGGGAGCACCCTCTATTCACCTAAAAGGTGTGGGCGCAAAGTCTTCACCATACATTCACTTAATTGGGGAAGGGGGGGGGGGGCAAACGCTGCGACAAACTCGCCCCTCCTGAAGGAGAATCCTGCACCCGGCTATGATAACAAAGTAGCATCGCATGACCGCAACATTGAGATCACGCGACTGCTCATAGTGGAGGTTCGGTGAGAAGGCCCAGACAAAGCATTTGCCTTCGCTGCAGATTGAGGTAAGGCGGCCAGTAATGCCTCTAGCCTCTACGAGCTTCGATAAAGAGAAGGCGCGGGCTCCCCTCCCTTCCTCTTCCGCTACGACGCGCTCGTTTATGGACCGATATAGGTTTGAGGTTAAAGAAAGCACAAACTGCTGGGCGAGTTGGTACTTCGTCTGTTAGTGTCAGCTGTGTCTAGGTGTCTTTCTTTTGTGTTTAAATTTTTTTTGCGCAACTCAGTTCATTTGAGGTTAGGTTGGGAAAACAAACGTACGCCTACGCTACCCCCTCTATCCCTCCGCTACTGCGCGCACCGCATCGCTAAATGCGATGCGGGACTGCTGGCACGCCCAGATGGTGGGAAAACGTCATTTTTCAGTGTCGCAGCTTCTCATCACCAACGCTTATCTTCTTTACAACTAGGTGTGACAATCTACCAGCCGACCGGTTACTACAACATGTCCAAGATTGTGTGCATGTTTGACTCTGGAGCAGGAGTAGAGGTCTTGGTGAAGGATGAACAGCTGTCTATGAACGTCTTCTTACCCGTGGAATTTGTGGTGAGTACATTGGACAACAAGCAATGTCACCTTTTGTTTTCTCAAAATTGCGTGTAACTTCCACATGTAAATTTGCTTTCAGCGCATAACTTTTTGTCATGCTTAACGTGTTTTTTTTTCTTTTCTGTTAAACATATGATTCTGGAAACAGTGTAGCAATGGCATAATAACATATGGTGATCCGACTATGCACATGATATTCAAACACAGATAATGAGACTTAATTTGTAAAAGCAAACAGTCAACATTCCGATACAGCACCGCCACGGTGGTCTCGTGGCTAAGGTACTCGGATGCTGATCCGCAGGTCGCGGGATGGAATCCCGGCAGCGGTGGCTGCATTTTCGATGGAGGTGAAAATGCTGTCGTGCCATGTGCTCATATTTGGGTGCATGTTAAAAAACCCCAGGTGGTCGACATTTGCAGATCCCTCCACTACGCCGTCCCTCATAATCATATGGTGGTTTTGGGACGTTAAACCCCACATATCAATCAATCAATCAACATTATGAAACAGATTAACAATGCTGTTTAATATTTTTTATGTTGCCACATCAGCAGTTTAAATATTTGGTTTCATTGCTTTGGCAATGGGTTGATGCACAAGTTTAACTTTGCCAAGTTTTATGTATTAGAGTGCATGCAACTTAGGAGACACATTCTCTACTTCGTAAATTTGTTTACACAGACCTGCTTTGCTCAAAGCTGTACTTTGGAAAAAAAAATGTGTTGGGTTTTTGGGATGTAGTATATTTTTCTTTCAGTTCAGAAAGAACATGCAGAATGTGGCCAAATGAACTATGGATGAAAATCCTGTAAATAGCACAGATATGTATATACTGCATTTAGAATAGTGTTAAAAGTAGACTTTAATAATAATAATTGTTGGCGTTTAACGTCCCAATACCACAATATAATTGCGAAGGCTGTCGTAGAGGCCTTTGAGAACTTTGACCACCTGGGGTTCTTTAACATAGACAGGCCTAGAAAGCTAAACATTAAGCGATTGTATTTGCATGCTACAGGAATCTTTTGCTGTTCGTTGCCAGTTAGTCATACCTTGTTACAACAAAGTTACATCAAACACAAAAGTATATTCACTATATCTGAAAATTCACTTAAACTTGCCTTCTCAATGTTGCAGCATATTTTTCATTTGATTGGAAAAAAACGATAATTCATTTTCGCTTATTTGTTAAACAAAAGTGAATCGTGGTGATGCCAATATGGATACACACAAACTGAAGGGCAGCATGTCCTTTCAGCACTGACTGAACTCCCACATTTGAACTTATTCATTTGAACCTGTGGCCTTCTTAGAGCTGTGTATGTTTTTACCCTCCAGAACATCACAAAAGGGTTACTAGGATTCTGGGATAAGAAAAAAGAAAACGACTTCATGCCACCACATGGAAATGCTTTTGTACCGATCACGGCAAGTTTGGAACAGATCTACCATCAGTTCGGCAATTTATGTAAGTATCCATGTTAGACATTCGCCTGATATAACTGCTAGTGCATGAAGCTTGGACACACCACATTTGACAATAAAGTTAGAAAAAATTTGGCAGATCCCACATAGGTCAGATCCCACATAGGTTGACAATCAATGTTATGTGAAATATAAGAAGGGGAGGTGAATGCATTTTTTTTTACTGAGCAATGAAATGATGATAAATATATGTACAAATGTTTATGCACAAACATATGTGAAACAGTTGGATATGTTTTATATAATCAGTTGTTTACAGGTACGTAACGATTCCAATAACAACATAGGTATGTGATACTTGTTGCAGACTCTGTTTACTGTATAAAAGATAGTGGTCACAGTCTTGATGCCATAGTCTTGATGAGTGCTAAGTACAGTGTTCCATGTTCTTTTCGAAGGATTTTTGTCAGTTACTGTACAAGTTGTGAAAACAAAAATTTTGTTTTCAACAATTGATCATTTCTTCAAACTATGACAAATTTAATCTAAGTGAGTTTGCTGGTTGAATTTACCCCTTTCACACGCATGCGAATGGGAGAAAATTGGAGTTGGCCCTAAAATCCGAAGCTTCATATTGAGCAGTATTGAAAAGCAAATGTTTTTACATGCCCATTAAAATATGGATTCAAAGATAAATTAATTTCTAAGCATGGATTATTTTTATAGAATAGAAACAGTAACTGAGCTGAAAATTCAATGAAAACATTGAAAGTAACAGGCAGGTCGAGTTTGCATGTCAAGTTAAAAAAAATGCAAGCACGAAATTAGATGACAAAACATTGAAACTCTTGGCAGTGGCTAGCCGACTGATGCTGTTTGATTTTTATTTTATTGCAGGGAGATTAAATGAATCAAACTCTCTGTTCAACCATGATTTAATGGGATACAAGTTTGGCCATTATGACGACCAGTCATTCCTACCATACCTTGAAGATCCCCCACGAATACCACAGAATTTCACGTACCGGCCACAGGATGTTCAAGATGTAAGTCCAACATAAGGCAAACATGCTGGATACCTGAGAGAGCTTGCTCTATGCTAGCAGCACAGAATGCCAGGCTCTGCCACTTAAACCGCCAGCTTGTTAACATTTGGTTAAGCAAGTTACGCACACGCCTACAGTGCTTTGACTGTGGCTGAGGTACGGCACTGAAGCTCAAGGTAACAGTACCAATGCCAGACAGGATGGCTGCTTTTTAAAAGGAGTGAAATACTTAGACAATTCCATATTTAAGTACATATAAGTTGTCATTAAAGATCTCAAAGCAATAAGAAATTAATCCAGTGTCTCACTGTGATGATGTGCCTCATAATTGAGTAGAAGTTTGGCATCTAAAATACCATTAAAGCTTTATTAAAAACCTATAGCGGTACACAGCTATACCAGACAAGGTGCTGTTTTCACAACTGGGAATAAGAAAAGTTGCATTGACACTAGCCAGCAGAACCTAGTAATTAATAATGACCAGGATGGTTTGCAGAGGATGCCTTGCATGAAAAATTACACCTAGTTAAAGTGTTGTAAAGAATGATGTTGCAAAGTAGCTTCAATGCCAATACCACTGCTATGTGTACATTAATGACAGATCTTTTGCTGTTACCTTTTCAGACATGTTCGGGGTCAAAGGCCTGTATATACGACTTCATAGTAACGGGTGACAGGCGATACGCTGCCACAACAAAATCAAACGAGGCTGCAGTTTATGCCGCAGCTCAGGAAGTTCGTGAGCAAGGTACAAATATTGCTATAACCAAAATTTCCTCTGTCTTTGTTCCCATTCCAAATGCCTAATTAGCTCTTTCCTTCAGGACATTGTAAGTTGTCACCAATAAGGTTTCCCCATTTTCTTTAAAGGTTGAAATTTGTTAATGATACAAGTCAGAATGAATGTAAAAGTCATGATGACTCTGTTCAGCTTAAGCGTATATATCATCACTAGGCACAGCTAATTTAGTGGTTGCTACCTCGTCGAAAACCATTGAAAGGCTAACGATATTAGGGATAATCACATTGAGCTGCAGAGGACAACCAGAATAAGCAAAACACTGTCCTGGTTTCAAACAATTTGAAAAATTTTATTGCAAGTGAATACACTATTGTCATTATTTGATGCACCTGCAAGCCATGAAATATGTAAGCTCATGAAAAGTCACAGATGGACAGATGGGCGGACGGACGGACGGACAGACAGACAGACAGACAGAACTTTATTGGGTCCTGAGAAACACTACTTTTTTAGAGCAAGGTCGCACGCCACTCCCACATAGGAACAAGGAGGCCTAGCCTCACTGCTGCATCGTGGGCTCTCTGGACAGCCCGCATTTGTGGTAGTAACCCTGAAATTTGTAAGGCAGAGTCCCAATCTTCTTCTTTGAGCCGATTTGGGCCTTGTAGTGAGGGTACCGCCAGAGCATATGTTCGAAGTCCCTAACCTCACCACAATCAGAACAAGTGGAGTAAAGCCTCTGAGGAGACCATGCTGAGGAAAGATAGATTTGTATAGGACCTGGTCTGGAGCATTCTAATTGTGATGGTCTGAGGTCTAGACAACTTGCTGTGCGGAGGAACAAATGACCACCTACTCAACTGGTAGTGTTTATCCACTTCACTGAATGTAAGTAAAGCGTCCCTAAACAACCCACAGCCAACCTGTGTACCTACGTCCTCCCCAGCGCGGAGGGTTAGTGCGCTTGCCTGGAAATGAGCAGCGTCATCATGTTTACTAGAGTCGAGTAGGGGTTCGAGATGTGCAGGAAGAAAGTGTTCCATGGTATGTGGAGAAAATAATCTTATTTGAAAGTAGCTTAAATACTTCAGCACAGAGTGAACCAGAGGCGAAATCCCTGACCACTGACTATTGAGTCGGTGAAGATATGCAATTTACTGTCGTCCAACAAAGTCACAAGTGCAATTAAGTTCCCACATGAGATGTTACCTTGAGGTACCTTGACAATAACAAATGCGCTTGATGTCAAATCTCATGCAAGTGCTTCTAAAGAGTACATACAATTGAATTTTGTTAAGTCAGTGGCAAAGAATGTTAATTCATTTCAGCTACTTGATATTCAAATCAAAGTGAATGTTTAAAACATATTCAATACAGATGAGCACTGTACGAGATTTGAAACATAAGAAGCTTATTTAGACTGGGAACAATTTTGTGGATGTTACAGTATTGTTGTCCCCCTCAAAATTTCGAAGTGTTGAAAATGAGAAAATGTCAAACACTGTTCGAATAATAATAAAATGCATGCAACAAGTGTATGGCACATTGTGCCCTTAAAGGGATCGACAGCTGACCACAAAGTGAAATCAGTCACTCACTCTGCTGTACATGGTGCGATGCTTTAATGAGCACCATAATTAGTGCTAGAAATTACAATACGCATATTATTCATCTATACTCAATTCTATGCAGCTTGCGAGGTAAAAACAAAGTTTCACGGTGAGAACTGGCACTGTTTTCGCGGCCATTGGCAGAACTTGAGCAACGGTGCATTTGCGTGATTTGCACGAATAGCAAAGTGCCATCCCGCTCACCTCCCACTGTTTGTAGCATGCATTGTGTGTATCACTTCGCAGTCGACGCATATAAAAAAAATTTGATTATCAATGTTTCATGCCATTTTCCAAGTTATTTTTCCTACGATTAGATACTCTGACAAGTAAGATTTTTGATGCACTAGAGAAAATGGGCATCACAAAAATTTATTGTCAGTCCTTTTAAAGGTACACTGAACAAATTTTTCGTTGCCAAGATTTTCAACTACGTCGAATTATTGGGTCCTAAAATTGAAGAGGACAATCTTTAATCCAGGCAGAAACTAAAAATAATGAACTTTGTGTGTTTTACACAAATTGCTGTGTCCAGCGGCCGTGCCGTGAACTAAAGAAGTTGGCGTTTGGTGATGTCACAAATGCCCGCAGCGGGCATCCCAACAATGCCAGCTGTTGCCCGTGTCTCTAGACTGACTCATCTCCCCCTACGGTTCCCAGAACCAGTTTCAACAGCACCGGTAGCGTACTGTGCTCCCGGCTGCAGTAAAGCATCAGCGATTTCTTAGAAGGGGGAGAGAGGGATGAAAGGAGAGATCAAGAAAAGAAGGAGCAGGATAGAAACACGTGCATCCTGGATGCACCTCAGTGATTGTTGTGTACACGGCTTGTGCTCACTGTGCAGCCGTTGCACGCTGACTGTCCGAAAAAATACAGCTAACTGCTCCGAACTATTAGAAATTAACTCTGTTTAACGGAACAGTTGAATTTTCCGAATAGAATGTTGAAATTTTGTCAGTTTTTTGTTCAATATCCCTATAAGCACCGAGTCAATGCCTTTGCATGTGGCAACTTAAGCTACCAGTTACTCAAGTATTTCAATGTTTCTATATTACTTGTGCAATATTGTGGACGAAGGAAATGAAACGAAGGTGTAAAATTTCGTTCACAGAGGTAGTATTGCTGCAAACCTTGTTCCTTTAAAAAAACAATAAAATATTGCACATTACCATTACTAAATCCAAAAAATGGCAGGAAGGGGAAGATCGAAGCTAGCGATGGTAAAATCCGGAAACAGGGCTTGTGCGGTTGAGCTGACGTTTCGACAAGTGAACTTGTCCTTTTCAAGGCTAGTTCTAACCTTGTCGGAATGTCGGCGTGAGCCTGTTTGGAGATTTTTACATTGAGATTACAAAAACCCCCAAATCCACGAACTTCCACAGGCACAGCCCTATTGTTGCTACTATATCAATTAAACATCTTCTGTACAGTCTTTATTCCCCAATGACTATGCAGCTTCTTTCTGTACATGCATTTTGAGTTGCTGTTATGGCACTTGCTATTACACATCACTAGGAACAGATGTTTAACAGTCGTCCTCTGTTTCTGCAGTAATCCGTTGCCCTGCCATTGACAAGCCTGCTAATGGCCGAAAAAGTGAAATTCGAAACTTCGTGGGACGAACAGTACGTTTCACGTGCAACGAAGGATACCGTCTAGTTGGACACGAAGTGCGGCAGTGTAAAGAGTATGGCCTATGGTCTTGGGGTGTTGATGTCACCTGCATCAGTGAGTATTAGGAGTTTTGTGCACAGCTAAATGCTTCTAAAGTGATACGTACTCATGATGAAGCTGTGCATAATTAATAATTCAGTTACAAAGGTTCCTGCTGTACCAGGCACTATCTAAAGTATTAATTTCTTAAGCAGGCTAATATATTATGTGAACAAGCATAGTCAAGCGAGGTCAGCTTAGTTTGAACATTGCAATGAGTGTCACTAGTATAATGTTTGCTAGCTTCGTGTTTTAGTTGACTTACTAGCTGGTTAAATTTAAGCACACAGCAGAACCATCAAGTTTTTAAGCCTCCAGTAGATACTCTTTTTTTTTATTTCATCCAAATATCCTTTGCTCCTTCCTACCTGCATCTCACTTCTGAAACCATTGGAATAGCTTTCTAGTAAAAATTATGGTTTCTGCACTTCAAGCAACTTTGTTTTCATCCTAAAGTGGTGGCTTTATCATAAATAAAAGCATTAACTTAACCATATACTAGTTCGCTTTTTTCAGAGGAGAAATAAAATAATGTCATAATAAAACTAACACACCAGGAAATTACTTGTTAAAATTAAGTGACGAGAAAGGCTTGTCCCCAGATGTATCACTTGACTCGAAGTAAAACCAAACACAAATGTGTACTTATCTTTCAACAAAAATGAGCGAACTATTCATCTTGGCTAGTAACACAAATAATTACTAGGCTCTAACTTATTAGCCACGAGACACAGGCGTAAGCAAAATCTGTTTTTAACACAGAGACTGACATGCATGTGGTGGGCATGCTCCTATGAAGCTGCTCTGAAAATGCCGCTCCATTTTCAGCAGTGATTACATCAACCACAACCACACCTAGCAATTGCTTTATTTTGCAGGCAATGCCAGCTATGCACGTAAGATAGCTGGCGTGACCCTTGGCATTCTGCTGCCGATAGCGCTCATCTTCTGCATTGTCTTCTTCTGCTTCTTCAAGCGCAACCGACACAAAAACAGCCACTACACCGGTTCCAACGGAGAGTGAGTTTTTCCAAGTTCTGATGTATATTCTCTGTGTATATAACTGGCTGGTGTGTTACATCCAAAGGCCCGGAACCATTGCAAGTCAACTTGCATAAAACTGTCGCTTCGTGAACTTAGTGAGTAAACTGTGAACTTTGCAAACAATAAAGACCAGTTATTCTGGTTAAACTCCTCAGGCATGCCATGAGCTTGCTCACTGTTCCTGGTGAGATGGAGTATGCCAAATAAACTCAGATTAATCTTTTACACTACTGGAATTCTTAACAGCCGGCTCTTACATCTATCGAAGCTTTGCAAGCAGGATAGCACAAAAAAAAAAAAAAAAAATTCGCATGTAATGGTGGCACCTGGAGATTTGTTGGCATTACAAATTTTGGCAGTCACTGCAACATAAAATGTTAATTGTCTATTATTATACAACAATTACAATACATAGAGTAATTAAAAGATAAACATGGCAACTTCTAAGGAGATTTTCACAATAATGATGGATCACGTGCAAATAAAGATTGGTGTAAATGTGTGGTCAGATTGGCACGACTGGAAATGTGGCTCGAGAGCGACACTTAGAAAGCGTGGCGTCCATTTCATTCTCTAATAATAAACTCCTTTTTTAATATAAACAGTGGTCATTGCAAACAATTCTAGAATGCTCTTCCAGATTGATCGAATTTGGCGTTCCTTTGAAAACCCCTTTCATCATCATCATCATCATCAGCCTGGCTACGTCCACTGCAGGACAAAGGCCTCTCCCATGTTCCGCCAGTTAACCCGGTCCTGTGCTTACTGCTGCCAATTTATACCCGTAAACTTCTTAATTTCATCTGCCCACCTAACCTTCTGTCTCCCCCTAACCCGCTTTCCTTCTCTGTGAATCCAGTTAATTACTCTTAATGACCAGCGGTTATCCTGTCTACGCGCTACATGCCCGGCCCATGTCCATTTCCTCTTCTTTATTTCAACTATGATATCCTTAACCCCCGTTTGTCCCCTAATCCACTCCGCTCTCTTCTTGTCTCTCAAGGTTACACCTACCATTTTTCTTTCCATTGCTCGCTGCGTCATCCTCAATTTAAGCTGAACCCTCTTTGTGAGCCTCCAGGTTTCTGCTCCGTAGCTAAGTACCAGCAAGATACAGCTGTTATATACCTTCCTCTTAAGGTATAATGGCAATCTACCTGTCATAATTTGAGAGTGCTTGCCGAATGTGCTCCACCCCATTCTTATTCTTTTAGTTACTTCAATCTCGTGGTTAGGCTCTGCGGTTATTACCTGCTTTAAGTAGACATAATCTTTTACAACTTCAAGTGCACTATTACCTATCACGAAGCGCTGTTCCTTTCCGAGGTTGTTGTACATTACTTTCGTTTTCTGCAGATTAATATTAAGACCCACCTTTCTGCTCTCCCTGTGTAACTCCGTAATCATGAGTTGCAATTCGTCCCCTGAGTTACTCAGCAATGCAATGTCATCGGCGAAGCGCAGGTTACTAAGGTATTCTCCATTAACTCTTATCCCTAACTGTTCCCATTCTAGGCTTCTGAAAACCTCCTGTAAGCACGCGGTAAATAGCATTGGGGAGATTGTGTCCTCCTGCCTTACACCCTTCTTGATTGGTATTCTGTTGCTTTCTTTATGAAGCACTATGGTAGCAGTTGATCCCCTGTAGATTTCTTCCAGAATGTTTATATATACTTCATCTAAGCCCCGATTCCGCAGTGTCTGCATGATGGCTGATATTTCTACTGAATCAAACGCCTTCTCGTAATTTATGAAGGCTATGTATAGTGATTGGTTATACTCTGAGCATTTCTCTATTACCTGATTAATAGTATGAATGTGGTCAATTGTTGAGTAGCCTGTTCGAAATCCTGCTTGTTCCTTTGGTTGATTGAATTCTAATGTTTTCTTTACTCTGTTAGCAATTACCTTTGTAAATAGCTTGTACACTACAGAGAGCAAGCTGATCGGCCTGTAATTCTTCAAGTCCTTGTCATCTCCTTTCTTATGTATTAAGATGATGTTAGCGTTCTTCCAAGACTCTGGTGCCCTTTCCGTTAGGAGACACCTTGTAAACAGGGTGGCTATTTTTTCTAACACAATCTGTCCTCCATCTTCCAGCAGATCTGATGTTACCTGATCCTCACCAGCAGCTTTGCCTCTTTGCATGCTCTCCAAAGCTTTTCTGACTTCTTCTATCATTACTGGTGGGGTGTCATCTGGGTTACTGCTAGTTCTTATAGTATTAAGGTCGTGGTTGTCTCCGCTACTGTACAGATCTCTATAAAACTCCTCCGCTATTTGAACTATCCTATCCATATTGGTAGTTATTTTGCCTTCTTTGTCCCTTAGTGCATACATCAGACTTTTGCCTATCCCAAGTTTCCTCTTCACTGCTTTGACGCTTCCTCCGTTTTTCAGAGCGTGTTCAATTCTCTCCATGTTATACCTTCTTATATCGCATAGCTTACGTCTATTAATCAACTTCGAAGGCTCTGCCAGTTCTATTTCGTCTGTTGTACTTGACACTTTCATGGTTTGACGCTTCTTAATTAGGTTCTTCGTTTCCTGGGAAAGCTTGTCAGTGTCCTGTGTAACTACCCTGCCTCCAACTTCCACTGCACACTCCGTAATGATACTCGTCAGATTATCATTCATTGTATCTACGCTAAGGTTGGTTTTCTCACTAAGAGCCGAGTACCTGTTCTGCAGCGACACTCTGAATTCCTGTACTTTCCCTCTCAGTGCAGGCATAACAAACTGTACATGACAAACCATTTCTCTGAGGGAGGCTTTCTGAATCGTACTATGGGTAGCAGACCACTGCAACATGCTATTCACTTAAACTAGAAATTTTCTTGGCACGAAACAACAACTAAAAAGTTTGTGAAACCATATTTCAAGCAACACATCAACTTAATATTTGCCTTTAGTGCTCTTTCAAACTATCAAGTCACCTACTTTGTGACGAAACTAGAGTTATACAGTGGGGTTTAAACATTAACCACCGCAAAGGAAGACAAGAAATTTGATCTTCGAACTTAGTCTTGAAGTGACAAGTATGACACGTTAGTTTATCCCACGGTGCTTCAGTAGCTCAGGTCATAAACACAGTAGCATATGGTCATGAGCACTGCCAGGTGCTGAACCGGCATAGCTTTAATAAGCTAGAACATATTTTTGAGCTTGCATTGGTCACATCTGCATTTGTAGTTTGCTTGTACTGATTGAGAAGGCTATGTATATGTATGTTTCAAACAGAGCAACTATAAAAGACTTTTCCATTTTTTCTCCTCTTTTTTCTTTCTTTGAAGTTTTAGTAAGTTTCCAGAGCGCAGGACAAAGACATACCACGGTCCAGCACCAGAGAAAGTCAGCGAAACGACGACGTGAGTGTGGGAAAGCGTCACCACTCGACAAGCAGAGAAGATGGAGAAATGGCATTTTGTACATAAGCACCCTCTCATTTCCAGAGCTGACAGATAACACTTCATGAATCATGCATCTGTGTCAACGATGACGACGTGATGATATTGCTGGTTCACTTACTAGAACTAAAATACAAAATACAAAAAAAACTACGAGCTGTCATACAGAAAAAAAAAAAGCGCAGAGCATGGTGATAGGCATTTGCGTCTTGATAAAGGCAGCTTCTACTGATGACACTGGTACCTACATCAGCATTATGCAAACATGATCATGTTTCGAGTAGACATGTGGTAGCTCACCCACAAAATGATGCCGAAGTATACTACAAGCCTGTTTACACTAAGTGTGTTTGTATGTGCTCACTGCACCATTTGGCATGCAGCGAGCATTTAAGCAGCAGGAAACATAAAAGCTTTCGACTCAAACAACCACGATAAGTACACTTATACTAGAAGTGCGAAGAATGGTCTCCGATACATAGAGCGTACAACACACAAAAGAATGGTACCCTTTCAAACACACAGAAAGAAACTTCCTTTAGAGAACTAGTTGGATAAATTGTTCTCCATAGTGTTACGAAATTTAGACTCAGTTATAGGCTATGTGCTTGCATATAACACCAAGTTAAGCTCGTACTTCTGACAGATGAACACATATGCCAAAGAACACTCCTTGGCAAGGCCAAAAGCCTGTATATTTAGGGACTGCCATGTAGTAAACATTTAAATATGACCACCAAACATAACAAGATAACTATCACAACACCTACTTACATAGTTTTTTTTTACATACTTATGAGCAAGCAGCCACAGGGACTGTCATGTAGTAAACATTAAAATGTGACCACCCAACATAACAAGATAACTATCACAACACCTACTTACATAGTTTTTTTTTTACATACTTATGAGCAAGCAGCCACATAATCTGCAACCGTTTTTAAGTGAAATGAATGTCATGCAGTGTTTATGTGTTGTAACATGTTCTGATCTTTTTATTACAATTGAATAAAGTATACCATACGCCTTTTTTGTTTTGCATGCATGTACACCAATTACAACTTCAAAATGCAACAAAAATAGGCTTACATTATCATTACAAAGCTCTGCGTAGTGATGACTTTGCAATGGTAAGTTGGTAAATAGGCTTGTATAAATAATGAATTGGGTTGCTTTCAGAATCTTGAGCAGAGATCATAATTATCGCCATGTTTAGATTGTAATTAGGCTCAATGATGTTCATGAACATAAAAGTCAGAAGGAGGGGCCAAAGGAGCCACCTTTGCACCAGCTACTTCCTGGAAGAAGGCATTACAACAATGTCAGAAGATGCTGTCTTGCTACTTCTGATGCCTTGCACAATTACTTCTACATAGAAGGCTTGAAAGCCAGAAAAAGACTGAGAGCTTGAAAAGATACTGTTGCATTCAATAACTTGACGGAAGCACGATCTAGAAATGACAAGCTCCATTTAGTGAAATTTATGTCTCCGAATGCTCCAATGACGTATTTGTTGTACCAGTGTTAAACTTCAAAAGAGGGGTTCTTGATACACAGCCAAAACTCAATTTAACAAACCGATTGGGGCACTTAAATTACTTCTTTAAATCTGACTCTGTAAAATCGAGGAAATAATTTTTCGCTCCTTTAAATCTAAAAATAGTAGCATAGTATATAGTAAAATAGTAGCCTGAAAGCTACCGTGGCATTTCATTGGCCACTAATACACACCTGCACGTGTGAGTTTAGTGAGGGCAGCCCAAGCATGAATGCCTCCCATGTCTGGGCAATACTGACATTCAAAGACAGGGAGTAATAATGCAGCTATTCTGTGAGTAGACAAAGTGAAAATTTCCAAGGAGTTCCAAGCAACCACACTGTTCCAGTCAGAGTATTAGCAAGAATGACAAACCACTTATGCCTAGCACCATTTGATATGGAGAAGCACGACTGACAGTGGCATGCAGCCTCGTCAAAATAAAACTAGGGTTGTGAATCGGGCGGCAAGTATTTTAACACCATAGCACTACAACACACATCTTAAGAAAAACCTTTGGTGCAAAAACGTGGCAGAAAATGCTGCCCTTTTGCTCATTTATTTCCAGAAAAACTTTGTTAAATAGAGTTGACTGCCATAAAGACCTCATTATTTGAGTTGATGACAACATTGAACCCTACAGGCGTATGTGTACCTGCCAGAAATGGCAATTTTTCTGTTTCATAGAAAAATTAGTAAAAACAGCTTTAGTTAAGCTGTGTAACTAATTTTACTCGCTATTCAGTTTCACATAAAGCTTCGAGTGAGAGCTGCTATTTGCCTTATGTGCAGTGCTTTTTGCAGGTGATATCTGATTCTACATTTTCTGGTTGAAATCCTTTGCCACAGTTAAAGATGCATTGATTGATGGCGCACATAGTTAATGCATTCGTATGACTATTGAATCCGCACTACCTGCCATTTCCCGAACACATATAGTATTCCATGAATGCAACACAAAAACAGGAGTTTGTACACCGGTCTATGCAGTTATACAACACCTGGATACGCACAGTCACCGATTGCGCAATGGTGGCTGTGAATATCGCGCATCTTCAACATCGAGAAGCCCAGTGATATGTGCTATAAATGCTTGCAGAAAAGCGATTCCTTCACGGGTGATTGAGCTGGAATAAACGAAAGCAAAGGTTGTTTGTAGAAGTAGGGAACATATTGTACATAATAAATACAGGCAGTCTCGATATTCTAGGCTGGAGTCTCTTATGGTGTAGTGGACAATGTGCTTTTAACATATGCAGGAAAGAATTCTGCAGTGTGAATGTATGCTAATTGGAATAATTTGCTACTTTCTGAGAAAAATGGTGTTGACAAAAAAAAAAAAAGAATCGACTCAAACATTCTGACCAAACTTCCTAATTGTGTGTGAAATGTATTACAATATGAGCAGCTGTAACGGTATTTTCAAAGTCTACTCGATCAACATTTGTCTATTTCAGGATAATCGTGGATCAAACATGTGAGCAGGGTGATTAGGAAGGAGGCCTGCAGATACACAGTGCAAGACACTACACTCAAACCTCTATATAACAAACCCAGATATAACAAAGTAAATAAATAATAGTCTTGCAATAACTGTAGTGTTAAGAATATACCTTTATAACAAATTTTCAGGATATAACAAAGACATTTCCATGTATCTTGCAACATTGTTATAATGAGGTCTGAGTGTAATCTGTTCAGAAGCATCTAATTGAACCAGTTGCACAAATCCAGAAAAATATGAAGGGGTTACACATCTTCACACTCGGCAGCAGTAATGTGATACATCTTTCATTTTTAATTATAAATACAAGCCATATTTTCATATACAGTAAAAGAAAGAGTATAAGCTTGAGCAGCTAACAGTTCATAAAATCAGTTTCTAAGTGTAATTCATAGGTATAGGCTCTAATGTATTTCTAGCTGGAACGTAAAATATGGTTCAACTATCAAATGAATACGCCAGCACTTTTCTTTGTTATAATGCATAAAACAACAACTTAAGGGGGAAAAGAGGGCAAAATCGACTAAAAATGCAATTTTTCAAGTTTCATAGCACAATATGCAAGCATTTTCGACAAGTGTTTCTTCAAAATGGCGTGTTCTTATAAGCAACAAAAAGCATTTCAAAAATGGTGCCAAACATGCATGACCCCATGACAGCATGTTATATACGATGTGCATTCGGGCCAGACATTGCAGCGTTTCCGTTGTTGTAAGCCGCATTTTCACCATGACCATCCACGCGCTACTGCGTTCCAGAATGCCTACTATTTTGGGTGGCTCATCTGTATTATAAAAGCACCATGGGTGTGTTGATACCTTAGTTTTCAACAAAATCGCGCAAGAGGCAAAAATTCTTTAAAAGCAGTACCTTCTAGTGCACAGTCAACCCACTGGGACATCGCCAGTGAGTGCAAGTGCTGCTACGTTTGAAGTGCTCCAGTGAGATCTCTTTTTGAATTTGTGGGGGCAAACTCACCTGAATTTCACACAACAGCCATATCTTGGTGAATGTTATGAATAATGGCGAAGAATATGCAGTAAGAGCATTTCATCCTGACTTGACGGCAACTTTAATTTTAAAAGGAGTTTCGCACCACTTTTCGTGAGAAAAAGAAAATTTTCTTTGTAACCATTGCACAGCTATGAAGTGCATATTTTTGTGACTTATTTTTGAATAACATGCACCTTTTCTGAAGCCGAAAAGAGTGGTGTTGCCACCAGGATTTCAGTTCTTACAAAATCTTTTGGTTAAAAAAAAAGAGGCCTTAAAATTCTAATCACCAAAGATCTATAGAACAGGCCAACTCGATCTGTATCCCCCAATTCGAGCAGCGATCCCGAGTCAGAATCAACTGGTAGGTAGCAAGTGCAAGTCTCGCTACCAATTCGGGTGTGGTCCAGGTTGGCATTCACAGAACGCCAATTTATGTAACCACCCCTTGTTCGCTTGGTACACTCCTATGGTGGACCAAAGGTGTAAATTTTTCACTAAAGAATGGACATGCCTACATTTAGTATTTTGGTTCCGAAAGACACCCTGGGCACATTTAAACAACGCACAAGAGTTCTCATATTTTCCCATGCCAAAGCTTTTACACATTCAAATATTCATTGAAAAATAAAAATAATAAAGTAATTAATTTCTAGCATTCTTAAAAAGGCTTCTTCATAATTGTTTGCCAGAATTCATAAAACATTTATAAAATCTCCATTCAAGCAGCTTGCAAGATTTAGTCAATTTACTTTAAAGATAACAGAGCGATGAGCTGTAGTAGTTTTACACTCGTCTTTGCTATCCATTTCCCTTAGGCTCTGATCATGCATGCTCCTAGCCTCTCAAAATTAATCTTTTTTGTGGTGTTTACATACACAAGTAAATTTTTCTTAATAAGTGAATTGTACTGAAGCAATAGCATTTGTATTCGATTGTCAATATTTTGCACCATATCGTCAGCATGAATGAGTAACGGCAGATGATAATGAATTCTTTACATTTTGCTTCAAAAGCGAGCACAGCAAACACTTGCGGCAGACCAGAATTCACCTGTAGCATTTGAGAAAGCACGACCTCTACATTGCTTGTTGAATCGAAGAACAGCTTTCGCTCTAGTACTTCGTTTCTAGTCATTGGAAGAGGTTTAAGATTACAGAGTTGACATGCCTACTTAACTGTCAAGCACTCCAAATATGATGCTTGAAAGGCAAATCTCAAGAACGAACCTGATAATATGTAACACACAAGCAAGGCTAGCTCATCAGTATATTTGGCAAGGAGGTCGGTGAAGTTCAGGGACAATTTTAGGACAAAAGATATGGTAAAGAAAGTGTAAGAGCCTATAAGGTTTGAAATTATATTGACTATGCGAAAAAAAAAAAAAACTACAAGAATCATACGGTATGTCTGAACAACTTTCAATTATACATCAAGGAAACAACAAACAAAGAGTTCCCATATGCAATTTTGCGGAAGTTGCAACAATAAAACGGCCCCTAAAAACAGGCTTCAACCAAGAAGAACGTCATGTCAGACTGGGACAACATATCGGACTGGGTGCTGTGAAAGCTGTTCATGATAAATATCAGTAGATATATTGCGTATTTGTGAGCACTGTATGAACTGTGCATAAGGGCAATGGGTTTTCGGCCAGGAACTTTGCCTTTAGTCACAATGCCTCGATGTTTCTGACGAAATGAAGAAATTAAACGATTTCGGGAAAAAAAAGTTTTTCGGGCTTCTGGTGCACTTACGTGTCAAAACATGGCAATTGATGCAACTCTTACATTACTTATAAGCTTTACTCATGTAAACAAATGCAAAATAAACAAGAAAAAAATACAGTGCCATGAACTTATTAATAACTTACTATAAAATTTATTCAAAGAATAATAATGTCTATGGTTTTACATATCAAAATCAAGGTATGATTACAAGAGATGCCGTAGTAGAGGGCTGCGGAAATTCTGACCATTTGGTGATCTTTAACGTGCACTGATATCGCACAGTACACGGAACTACCTTTTCGCGTCCATTGAACTGTGACCACCACGACGAACAAGATCAAACCCGCAACTTTCGTGTCAGCAGCCGAGCACCGTAGCCACTGATCCACCGCGGCGGACCAATTTATTGAAGTGATAATTATGGGCAGCACCTTTTAATTAACAAAAAGAAAAAGAAAGCAGCAAACATTTCAGGAATAAATGACCATTCGTATTGCCTGCTCTGTAATCATTTTCAACAAAATGTGAGCACTAGGAAGCACAGATCACGCCATCCATAAGAGCCACATGCTATTGCCTGTCCGCAGAGGTACGAAGGTAAAATGTTATGAACTGTTTAGCTTACCTGACCAAGAATGGCTGAGGGAAGCAAAGTGTTGACATGTATTTGTTCCTGAGCTCTGTTACAAATGCAAGGTTCTTGAGTATGACAGAATTTTTGGCCTTGTCGATTTTGGTGAAGACCAGCTGTGACAAGAACGTCAGCCGTCAGCCTCATTCCAGCAGTTGCTATCGTTAAAATCACTGACGAGTATACTAATGGATGCCTGTCTACTTAAAGCAGGTCATAGGAGAACTTATAAAATCAGCTCTGACTGACCAAGTAGACTTTCAAAACTATTTTAGTTAATTTCAAGGTAACTGGTATTGATAAATTACAAGAGAAAATTAATGCCCACGTTCCATTTTTTATTCATGCCATTCTGGTTCAAAAGGTTCCTGAAGCTTGCTACATTCACACTTCGGTTCTTTTAGGAAACACAGCACTTCATCTTTATCAATAAAAATATAGCTAGGACCCAGTAAATGTCGCTAAAACCTCAAACATCATGCCAAGCTGGCGCAAGAATTTTTAGAGCAGCTATTGTCATCCATTTTAATCTTGCGTCCTTTCAGGCTAAACCTCGTCTTATACTGAAATTAATTTGTTTTGGTATTAGAGAAACATAACATACTAAGTGAAAAAAAAAAGGTCTTACAGCATACGGTGACCTCAGCGTTTCCAGCATCTCGATGGCATCTTGGTCATAGTCTTGAAAACCTTGCTCAGCGTCCATTACGAGAAATGTCCTCTTCAGGCTATAACATAGCACAGTGAATAATAACAGACACCAAAAAATATTTACATTTAAAACAAGTGCATTATTTACGAAATAAGTGCAATAAAACACCACATGAAGAGGTCCCCTTTAAGGTATGAAAGCACTTGGCAAGTAAGTTCACCACTTGAACAGAAGAGTTGATCGAAAGCTTACTTTTTGCGACTCGAAAGGAACTGTGATGAAAAGATGGCAAAGTCTTTTGGCTGTCTGAAACCATAGCCGGGCATGTCTACCATGCACAGTTTCTTGCCAACCGCAAAAAAGTTCAACGTTTTCGTGTGTCCCTGAAATAAAGAATGCATATTCATAGTTGGAGCGTATTCATGTTGATAGAATAAGTAAGGACACCAGAGAGAAGTCAGAAACTCACAAACACTGACAAAACGCTACCGTTTGTGGTGTCTTGACTTCCCTCTTTCATCTGTGTTTTGCACACCCAGTCTTTTCACATCAACTATTCAGTACAGGAGCAGATGAAGGGAATTCGATTCAATGCTGACATATGAATGCAGGAGATTAATAGCGTTGAATCAGTCCTGAACAGTATTTCACCATCGGAGCAACTCTAGAGATATGAGCCACTTCATTGCAGGAAAGGAACGCTCATCGGCGTACCTGACATATTCAATCTACGTTCAGGAAGAACACCAGAAATCACGTGCTGCACTGCAAGGAACACGCCTCTGCGTGCCTGTTATAAGCTGTCTGCGTGTAGCAATGAAGGGGCATGTACGGAAGGGTGTTTCAGCTCTACTAAACCCTGGCTAGAGGCAAAGCATGCGTTGTGCGCTGGCGTTTCCCACGGCAAAATCTTTACTTCTTTACTCGACCCAGGTTGACGAGTGCACCATCACTTTGAAGTAATGTTTTAAGATGTCACGTTTCAAATAGATGAATTTGCTGTAGAGAAGCACATTTGTGTTTCTGGTTTTAGATGAAAAAGCTTGAGTGCCTTGGTAAATTTCGTTAGGTATTTTGAAACGACTGTTAATCCAAACATAATGTTTTAGGCAGTAACAATGAACCTGTAATTCATGATATGCATAGCATGGTCCATTGGCGAGACGTGACATTTACCCAATTCTTTTGGGCACATACCCGTTTATAATGGACCAACGACACTGTCTTCAGAGGGGCAGGGAGACAAAACTTATGCTTTGTGTTTTGACTATGCTTGCTCTTGGGAGGGCAGGGGGCATGCGAGAATTTCGGCCGAGGGCTCCAGCCCACCGGCGCCCCTCGCTGGTGTCGCCCGTGTCGACGACATGACAAGCCGAGATTCTAAGGTGGTTCGCCACTGAAATAGTTCCAGCACTACACCAGCCTGCATTAGGCTGCCACCTCTTCAGGGTTCAGCAAAACACCGTCAGGCAAGGGGCATACATTTCTTGCGCATAAACGAACACTCGCCATCGTTGCAACTTTGGCTAATGTTCGTTTATCTGCATGAAACACATGCCTATGTGTGTGCTCCTCGGCTGCTGACCCGATCGAATCCCGGCTGCGGCGGCTGCATTTCCGATGGAGGCGGAAATGTTGTAGGCCCGTGTGCTCAGATTTGGGTGCACGTTAAAGAACCCCAGGTGGTCGAAATTTCCGGAGCCCTCCACTACAGCGTCTCTCATAATCATATGGTGGTTTTGGGACGTAAAACCCCACACATCAATCAATCAATCAATCCTATGTGTGTGCTGTACACTGACCAGAAAAAAAAAAGAAACTGAAAGAAGGTTGCGACGGGAAAGTTTAGCGCATTTAAGTGTTTTTATTAATCAATCAATCAATCAATCAATCAATCACCTTTTATTTCTCCTTGAGAAACATCGGGGTAGCGGGAAAAGAAAGCAGCAGTACAGCGGTTTCGCGCAATACTCACTGGAGTTTTCGATACTTTGACGCGAACTTCGGGAGCTTGTGAAAATATGGCTTTAAGCAGCGACGACTTCCCCACGTTGCTTATTCCCATAATCGCCACCTGAAAACAAATTACGACAATGTCAGGTGCAGAAGAAAAGGCTCGCGTGAACGCCTCGCACTCGAGTGGTAAACGATGCGAGCTTAAACGCTGTGTGTAGCATTTTATCGCATATACATACAAATTACATTTGGCTGGTATCGCTATCGCTGAGCAAGTAGGAAAGGAATAACAGTACGCTCTGTAAAGCCGCAGGTCATGTAGATGAGAAAACATAAGCGTACGTATGAGTTGAATAGCAGCGTATTACCTCCGGCATGTTGTGTTGGGGGTATTGCTCGGGACGCACAGCTGACGTTATGAAAGAGAGTTGGTGGTTGGGCCGGCTAACGAAGAGGCCCTCAGCCGCTCTCATTTCGGTGACGCTTGGTTCGAAAGGCGCTTCATTTTGATCAAACAGCGGCACTTGTAAATGCTTTTGCAGTTCATTACACCTGTTTATGTACGGAAGGTCTAATTTCTTGGAAGCTTGTTTCGCAGAGAAAGACCGACTCAACTTAAAAGTGGAGCGCACAAACATTGCTCGTAAAATTTGCAAGGGCGCAGCCATGT